GACATCGTTTTACTCTATAGTAAGTCTAGAATGGCACCTATAAAACAGGTAGCTGTGCCTAGACTGGAACTAACAGCGGCAGTATTGAGTGCTAGAATGGGGGAAGTTTTAAATAAGAACCTTCCTCATGTGCTTGACAAGACTCACTTCTGGACGGATTCTATGATAGTACTGTACTATATAAAAAATACAGATAGTAGGTATTCCACCTTCGTGGCTAATCGTCTGGCCGCTATTCGTCATTTAACATCTGTAGACCAGTGGGGGCACGTAGAATCCAATGAAAATCCTGCTGACTGGACATCACGAGGCATACGGAAGGAGCTATATTTAAAGAACTGGATTGAGGGTCCTTCCTTCTTAAGGAAGAGGGAGTCTGTAGGAACACTAACGCTTATGTGCGAAAACCCCCCAGAAAATGTTGAATTTAAAAGATGTCACACGACCAACGCAGTTGCGAAAAAACATAGCTCAAGTCCAATTCTGCTATATCACTCAAATTGGATAAAGCTGATTAAAGCGGTAGCATGGCTCAGAAGATACGTGACCTATATAACCATCATGTACTCCCGTCACAATGACAGGTCCCTAAATCTGGGCTATCTGTCAGTTGATGAATTGGATGCAGCTAAACACAAGGTATTAGACTTAGTGCAAAAGGAAGTGTATGGGGAGGCAGTAAAAGTGTCTCGATGCAATGGCGTAAGCGCAACTGATATAAAAGAGCTAACAAATCTTTCAACTACGCTAATCGATGGATTGCTTTGTGTCGGCGGACGATTAAATTACTCGGATTATCCACTCTCAATCAGACATCCGGTAATTTTACCCAGTCATCACTTCGTAACAGAACTTATTATTAGACATCATCACCACCTAGAAGGTCACACCGGGACATTACAAGTGTTAGCTACCATACCACGAAATTATTGGATTGTTAAAGGAGCCAGTGCAGTTAAACGAGTGATAGGTAGATGTGTGAGGTGTATACGCGCGAAGGCCACATTAGGCCAACAGATGATGGCACCTCTCCCCAAGTGTCGAGTGCAGCAAGGCTGGTTTTGCTTCTCCTCCGTCGGGATAGACTACTTTGGGCCGTTGATAGTGCGTCGGGGAAGAAGTGAGGAAAAAGGATATGGATGCCTATTTACGTGTCTCCAAACACGTGCCGTACGTTTGGAAGTAGCTTTCAATTTGAGTATTTATGCTTTTATAATGGCTTTAATACGTTTCATAAGAAGGAGAGGAACTCCTAAGGAAATTTATAGCGACAATGGGACTAACTTTGTCGGGGCCACTTCCGAATTACGGGCTAATATGAGTGTGTGGGACAAGCATAGAATAAACGACTTAACAGTAACCAAGGGTATACGCTGGCATTTCAACCCCCCACTAGCTAGCCATCGAGGCGGAGTTCGGGAGAGATTAATACGGTCTGTTCGGAGGATCTTACTATTTATTTCCAACGGGCAAATATTACACGAGGATAGCTTGGCAGCTTATTTTGTGGAGGTAGAACAAATTTTAAACAACCGCCCAATCGTTCCTGCGACGTCAGATGAAAAGGATGATTTAGCGCTTACGCCAAACACTTTGTTATTACTAAGAGACAGCGATGGTGCGAATGAGAGAAGGTGTAGTAAGAAGAGATGTGCGAAAGCTCTGCCTTCTAGAGGGAGCCGAGTAATTGTAGATTGTAGCTTAGGTTTATGGATGTACAGGCGTACTGTTGTAAGACCTGTGCCTCCCATTGATATAGAGCAGTTAGTAAGCAGAGTCATGACAGAAATGTATTCTAAGGTGTCTTTGCGAAGCTGGAGGGATTTTGGGGGCCGGTGTAACGGAAAAAGAACAGTGAAAATCCCTCTGCAGCTTCTTTGTTGAACAGTATTTTCATTTATTTGTTCCTTCTCCCTTTTGTGTATTCCAACCTTTGTTTTGATCTCGTTTAACCATGTGTTTTGTTCTTCAGTCTTCCTCGTTTGAGCCTTTATTATGTGATTTTGATTAAAGACTTATTTTTGGTTACCTAATTTTCTATTGCATGTTGCTGGACCATTGACAGTAAGGTTGTGTTTGACTAAACTCAAGGTCACGGCGTGGTTCAGTTTGTGACTTAACCTTCTGACTGTCTGCTTGGGAGAATTGCTGCAATCCCTGCAGATAGATATTTGATCCCATCTGATTGGGAATATTTGTATTGATTCTCAGGTATCAAACCCTTTAGTATTAACTGTCTCTTTCATTGTTTAGCGCGCTACTTTGCGTTAGAGAAACTTCTGACTGTATAGCACAGGCTGTACCGTTTGAGGTATTTTGTATTTTTGATGTAATTTGTTCTGTTTTCTTAATTAGAACCGTTTATATTGAGCACAGAGTTTGTGTTTTGATATAATATAATACGAGTATCTCAAAGACGCGTTGTGGGCTATACAGAGGAACTTGGTCTGGTCTAATCGAATAAATTTTGGGTTCGTCAGTCCGTTGTTCCAACCGAATATTGGCTGTTCGGTCGTGCTTTTTTTACGTCATCCTCACAAAAAATAGTCTTTCTATGAACAACCCTCAAACTTTCCGTATTATATATGCGCGCGCTATTTAAAAATTCAGTGGTATTATTTTTTGTTGAGTTAAACCAAATGTTTTGATCGTAAATTAAGCGTCAAAACTACTGCTTACACTTTAATTGCATTTATTTCATTCAAGGTTATATCCTACTTGTGCTGACTTTACCTTTTGTGTATTTATTGCATCAAGGCATGCTTGATCGACTTTGACGTGATTTATTCGGTTAAGGTTTGAAACTTTTATACATATCCATTTTCGTGTTATCGCCTTTTAGTTTATTTTCAAGATGGTCAGCCCTACTCACAAACGTGGGTAGCAGTATTGCTCATTCTTCGTGGATGAAGGAATGGAATGTGATGAGTGTAGGACGTGGTTCTATAAGATGTGTACACGCTTAAATCTCTCTGCCTAAAAAAAATGCTCAAATCTTGACTCTCATTGGCTTTGAATGTTTTCTTGTTCGAGTCAAAAATTAGTCATCCAAAAGGCACTTAGACTTCTGGCGTTGGCTAACAAGAAGGTTGATGAGGGTTGTACTGATAACATGGGTACTGATAACGAAGAATGCGTCAGTGTCGTAAGAACTGTCACGGCACCTGCCTGACACCCAACTGTGCAACACGCAACAGGTTTTTCTATCCCGAAACAATCAATGAACGATCCACCATTAGAGTATAGTGGTCAAGTTGCTACAACAGCGAGTGATGGGAAATGGATGATATGGAAACATTGATGAGAAAGAATGATAGCCAAAAGTAGAACTTGTTTAGTTGAAAAGTACCTACTGAACTCACATTTTTAGTTGCAGATTACTCCACCAAAGTCCCAAACTAAGATAATATTTAGCTTTATCGTAGATGGGAAAAGTTTGGCCTCGTCAAACACTGTCGTGAGTCATTCGCTCCACTCCCATGACTCTGTTACAAGAATAGCCAGGTAGAATCTGATATCATGGCTGAAAGCCGTGAACACGACTTTTAAAAAAGTTAAACTCGTTCCTAGTTTAGTTACTGTGAATTTAGAGGAATTGGTAGACAATAACCCCTACTAAAGGACATGCACACGGTCTAGAGTTATTGGACTCTGTCATCAGAAATGCACTTCCTGAAAACGTTTCACGGGTAAATACCACGGAAGTAATGCGACTCAGCAAATAGGTTGGAGGCGAGACCCGAACAAGAATGGTTTTGACGTTAGTACTCGGGGATTTTGATGAAAGAGACGTATTATTGAATAATGCATACGAAACTCGTAATTCAACTATTCGTATCCGACCAGATTGGCCGCTTGAGGATCGAATGAAGTAGAAGAATGCCCTCACGGAGTTAGGAACTCGAAAGTTAAATGGCTAAGCGAACCTTGCGAATAAGGGATTACGGGTGGTATGGGTAGAACGAATGATTCCCGAAATACCTTAAATGTGAGTTACACGGACGTTCATAGTCTTCAAAATAAAACGTCTGAGCTAATTTTGATGGTGGAATTATTTAGTCCTGACATAATTGTTGTCAAAAAATGGCTCACCGTAGATATAGACTGTTCTCCCATCAATCCAGGTTACATCTACATCAGAAGTGATATAGTTATAAATCTCAAGGGAGCTGGCATAATGTTATGTGTTAGTGATCACTTTCGTATATAACCGATCATATTGGAGGCGCATGGTAGTGGTACGTGTTAGGTAGTATGTTGCACAATTAGGTCGACATATGAGTTAGTGACAATAGAAAGAATATGCCGTGGTCCATGTTGTATTGCCGACGAATTATCTTACGACGCATCTGTTCTTGGAGTAAGTTAAAACGTCTCATCACTGGAGACTTCAACGCTCCGCATTTCAACTGGATAAAACTTACAGCTCCAAGTGAGGGTTTTGGTGGTATCAGCCCCATTAGTGAAAATTTTCAAGGAGAAGCTGGACCTTCACTAGAAGGCAAACTGTTAGGATTAATACAGGTCGTCCTCATTACTGGAGACTGAGGACCTTTTGTGCCTCAGATAGTTGTGGACGAAAGAGAAACATTTCAATTTTAACGGACTTCCGTACTGAGTAGCGATGGAACACTGAAGCCTACAGGTAGGGGCCTTGATGCATGTAATAAAAAAGGAAAATTCTTAGATAATAATAAGACTCCGATGAATCCTTGAAGATATATCGTTTCCATAGAAGGACTCGAGGAGAGCAGACTGAACTAACTCGGCTGGAAGGAAATTCTAGAGTTTGATTACTTGTAAGTATTAAAAGGTTTTCCAAATTAGAGACCGATTCGTGAAAAAGCTTGATGATGATCACAAAGCTTTCAAAACAGTTATCAAACTGTAGGCTCTCACAAATGAAGAAAATTACTAAATGTAGAAAATAATCCTTTGGAAATTAAAAGTAGTCGTGAAAATTGAAATAATAGATCTTGTTTACCAAATAAATTAAGTACCGTGACAAAAATATTTGGTCGAATACCTTTGATCTACCAGCAGAACCAGGTGTACGAGGAGATCCAGAAACTGGTCTACTTCCAACATTGGAAGATGTATTCATCAAGGCAGTAGTTGTTCCAAGCTGATCCATGACAGAATCCGAATTACCAGATATTGTATTATTTGAAATATTTGCTTGAGCATTATCTCTTTGCATGCTGACCGAGAGGCGAGTAAGGAATGACTATATATGAAAAAACACTAGATAATTATAGATGCTATGTAAAAATTATGGCTAAAAAAATTCAGTGCCAAAAGTGAAAAGTGTACGGTAGTTTTATTAAATCCATCCAAACTCAAAATAAAGACATTTAAAACTAAATATTTTGACTACGTACACGATTTGACTGTTGAAACGACTGATATAATGTTGCACTCAATTGATAGCAACTGAGGAAACCAAATATAGTAACTCGTCATATTAACAGCCTCGAACCCTAATGATAATCAAAAAACTTGAACAGCTGGTCAGGTTTGCATTGTCACACTATGTAACTTGCTGAAATGAAACAATTACTTACTTACGCCTGTATGATTTAGAAGGTTACGTAGACCAACTATGGGACCATATGTACAAACTTAAACCAATAACTACTGGTGAACAATCGCGAGCGACATATGTACTTTAGGATCTAAATAATTGTAAGCACGTCTGGATATAGCGTAACAAAATAAATGTAGCACATAGCCCTCCATCCGATGGACCATTCAAAGTTATCTCAAGGGAACCTAAATATCAATAAGTTACTGAAATTTATCTCAATATTCTTCGCAATGCCATAAAACCTGCTTAAATATGGCAGATATTATGCTAACGTTACTGAAACATGTGTTTCATTGCATTTCTGAAATAACTTAAAGTGGCTTATTCACAAAACTTATGTACCCATTAGCTGTTTGTGAATAATAATAATAATTTCTTAGACTGAAACTTGCTCACTTATGCCTCTTATCCCTCGTGGAAGAGCATTGGCTGATCATTAGCATTCTCCATCCAACTCTGTGCTGAGCAATCCTTTCCAGTTTTTATTCATCCTTTTCATGTTTGCTTCCAATTCTCGACGTAGTGTGTTCTTTGGACTTCCTCCTTTCCGTTTTTTCCAAGATTCCAAATTACGGCTTGCTTCGTGAAACAGTTTGATGATTTCCATAATGTATGTCATATCCACTTCTAACGTCTTTTCATAATTTCCTCTTCAGCTGAAGCTGGTTTGTTCTCTCCCACAGTAGGCTGCTGCTGATGCTTTCCGGTCAACAAACATTAAGTATCTTACATAGACAATTGTTTATAAATACCTGCACCGTTTTGATGATGGTTGTAGTAGTTTTCCAAGTTTCAGCTCCGTACAGTAGGACAGTCTTGACGTTCGTATTGTAGATTCTGACTTTGATATTGATTGACAGTTGTTTAGAGTTCCACATGTTCCTCAATTGTTGAAATGCTGGCTTTGCTTTGCCAACCCGTGCCTTCACTTCTGCATCGGATCCTCCTTGTTCATTGATGATGCTGTCCAGGTACGTGAAAGTTTCCACCTCTCCCAGAGTTTCTCCATCAAGTGTGATTGGGTTGATGCTTTCCGTGTTGTATTTCAGGATCTTGCTTTTTCCCTTGTGTATACTGAGGCCTACTGATGCAGGGGCTGCTACAACACTCGTTGTCTTCATCCGCATTTGTTCATGTGTGGGATAGGAGGGCCAGATCATCTGAAAAGTTCAAATCGTCTAATTGATTCCGAGCTGTCCATTGTATTCCGTGTTTCCTCTCAGCTAACGAGGTCTTCATAATCCAGTCAACCACCAGGAGAAAGAGGGAGGAGAATCTGTAAGCAAACTGATACGGATCAATGTACTCTTTTGTTGCAGGCTGAAGTGGAAGTATTAAAAATTTTAATTGTTTTGAGTAAGGGTGAATTTATTGCAATAGCTCTAAATTTCATATTTTTATCACTAGATACTTTCTTGAGTATAGGAATTTTCTTTATCTTTCTCTACATTTTCGGTATGAGATTAGTTGGGAAAGATATAGTTGAGACTTCTAATCTCTAGGTTTATCAGATTATTTAGCTTACGAACTTCATGAGAGTTTTTCTCATTCTACATTCTTTCTTTCAACCTCCATAGTTGTTTTATCTGTGAAGATTTAAGTCGATCAAAACTTACAAAAATGGTTTCTGTGGGACAACAAATATCAACATAGAATTTAAGGTAACAAGTGATAACATCAGTAGTGACTTCAAGTGAGTCATCTGTAAATAGTTCCTAGTTCGTCGTATGAAACATGATTTTGAGACTTCGGATATATTTTGTGAGTAATTCCTATATTTGGTTTTCGTGGTATGATGTAAGAGTTTACTCTTTCCATGCTTTCCATATACTTTAGGTTGGACACGAATAATACAGTGATCCGAGCTAGAAAATGGAGCACGTTCACGAGTCACATCATTAATAAAAACAAAGTCTAAATGAGCATCCAAATGAGTAGGTAAATCTACTACATTTTGGTGACCTAGTGATGTAAGGAAGCTACAGTCACATTAATTGAAGTCACCACATACAACTGATAGTGAATCACTGAAGGCAGTAACAGCGAACTCAGTGAATTCATCAGCGAAAACAGATAGCTCAGATGATGTGCAATCTGGAGTCACTTAGATATTGGTAACATAAACGTACTTGTATTTATTCAGATGTTTCGGACGAAATCTTTGAGTTTGACAGTCGGTAGTCATTTAGAAACTTGAAACACGCAAAAGTAGATCAGCACCAGTTCACGTTCACAAACATAGCTACACCGCCGCCACACCTCTTTTTATTGTTTGATCGATCCTGACGATAAATTTTGAAATCATGTAGTGATACCAGACAGTCGTCCTGTAAATCATTTAACCAAGATTCTTGAATTGTGATGGCACCAGAATTACGATGCAGATTTTGACTTAGTAGGGATTGAAGATAGTCCACCTTATTGATTAGTGATCGGCAGTTAGATTTTAGCAGCTCGGGAATCAACATACGATTAATGTTCATTCTGTTCAAAGCATATTGCCAACCTCCGCTATAAGCAGGCTAGACACTCACAGGGACGAATTCCCACAGAATTTTCTTTTATTTCCCCTATTTCTGATCATTTCACATGCTCAAACTCTTATGTGAATGAATGAGTGGAAGAATGTTTATAGATATGGAAGGTAGTTAAGCAAAACATATTCGCTTTCGTCTATGACTCTTTGAATCATTTGATTTAGTCGCGGAAAGTGGTTTGTTTACTTTCAAGGTTACGATGCCTCACTCGACTCTTACGGATTGTGACAGATACGAAGAAGGTGATTTATGTACGGAAAAAAAGCATCTTTGGTTTGTTTGACTTCCTGAAGTCATAATAGTGTGCAGGTCTAGTCTACTCGAAGAGGTTACACACAAGGCTGCAGTGACATTGTCTCCCTCCAAAACTCTTGTTGTTTTGGGTGATGATGAGTGTGGGAAAACTACTCTAATAGCTCGACTTCAAGGTACAGAAGATCCAAAAAAAGGTTTTGGACTTGAGTATACTCTTTTGGATATCAAGGATGAAGACAGAGATGGTATGGATCGGTTTAATTCGGATGTTTTGCATCGCCTAGATCAAACGAAGCTGAATGTGTGGATTTTGGATGGCAACACAATTCATAGTCATCTTTTAAAGTTCGCAATCAATGAAGAATCGTTCGGAGACTGCTTCATCATGATATGTGTGAGCATGATGGAACCATGGAATATTATTAGCAGCTTAAATAAGTGGGTTGGTATCTTAAGAGAACATATTGGTAATCTCAAAGTTTCAAATGAGAAGCTTCAAGAATACAAGAAAAATAGTTAGTTTTCCCTATTCTTAGAAAACAGATTGGCAAGCGTTTTTCTGTCAGCAGTTTTGTATGGTACCCCGATTATTTTTTTCGAGCAAAATTATAGTAGTCCAAAAAGCCTTTTTAATAACTGCTGCTTACCCTAAACAGTTTCTACGATAGATATAAAGTGGATGATTAGTGAGCACTAAAAAATTAATTTAGTTATGTGGTCCTTGGTAAATAAAAAAGCTTTAATGACTTCTTAAGTTTTACGTTAAAAACTACAAGATGTAGGGTTCGAAGGGTTTGTCAGTGTATTAAAGTTTTTCAGGTTCTTTCATTATTGTTCTGGTTAATTTTTGTCTGCCAATTGTATTTGAGTACGTATTCCATCTACTTTAAAGGTTCTGCCGAAGAACGTAGGTCCAGTCCATAAAGCCTTTACTTTGACAGTAACTTAGTAGGAGTGTTTAAATGTATTCCTACACTGTGCATACCTCGGATCCTGATCATTACGAGTTTTTGTTACTCAAATATCGATGTATTGAAACTCGCTTTACAAACATTTCTCTTTTAAAGATTACTGTGCTTGTTTATTTACGGAATATTTGAGAATCTATGGTTGTTTACTTGTTCATGCAAAAAATATTTAAGTCTTATACTTCATAGAAGTACTAACTTTGCTGTCGTTAAAAGCTTTGCTTGAGTGTTAGGGAACTAAATGACTTTCAGGAGATTCACCAATTAGTTTTTTAAAAAAAATAAAGAATGTTCTGTTACTCCTGTATGCATAAGGTAATTATCCACTAATTTCCAATTCAGAACATCATTAAATGCTTGAGGTCAATTGAAACCGCTCAACATGCTCAGTGTTTGTTAACGTGCCACTATTATTGCTAATTCATCTTATAGGGAGACAGAAAGCTCAGTAAAACAAGTACATATTATAATAAAAGGTAGATTACAACTCCAACCATAGATACGCTGTATGAGTAACTGGGGAATAATTTTATACATATATAATAGCACCTGATCTGTGTGTTTATAAAACAGTACTGTTTATGTACAGTAAAATAAGTAATTTGTCTCCCCTTCGACACTTTTTTATATAGCTAGACATCTGGCTCATTCCTAGGTTCTGCATATATAAGCTTTATATTCATTCTACTCTTGTTATTCATATTTTTCGTAACTGTTTAGTTACTTCAGATTTTCTTTTATTTAGTAAAAAACTAAAAAACTTCATTATCAACTTTATTTCTCCCTCACATAGTTTTGCGCCAATTCTGTAGTTATCTAGAACCTGATGTACTATCTAACACTGCTCATGTCGCGCCCATGTGTATCAGTCCATCTGGCAATCATCAACCTAATGGACTTGTTTCACCGAAAAAGTTATCGGGAATACACCCTGCAACTGCTGCTCTTCTCTCAAGCACATTAAACTCACTATCCGAAACTGCGTCTCAGCCACCGTCTGTTATAAATGTCGAACAAGCAAACATTTCTATGGAGACAAACACTGATGAAAATGCTCTAATCAACAATTTGGGGATTCCAATAGTTGTAGTGATGACAAAGGTACGTAAAAAACTATACTGAAGTAAACTGACAGACAGCCAACAGAGCAATTATCTTGAGTTTATCAATCTTTAATCTGTGTCCCGTAGGATAGCTTAATTCATGTAGCATATACTACCAAAAATGTATTTACTTCATATTACTCATCTAAATCATTTAAATTCCACAAGATTAAGTGGTCAATAAGTCTACTGTAATGTCATTTAAAAATGATCCGTAATTTACTTCTTCGTAAATTTCACCAATTATTTTATTCGCTTTGTATGCAAAAACTAATTTTCCAGTTCTTTAGGTGATTGTTTGATACATTATATTTGTTACTGTCCACTAAGTTTATTAAACTTTTTGTTCATTTTTAAGGCTGATTCTATGGGGGCTCTGGAAAAAGAAAATCAGTTCACAGAAGAACACTTTGACTTCATTCAAATGCATGTTCGACGTTTTTGTTTGTCCTGTAAGTACTGTAGTTATTTTTGTTGATCCTATAGACCTAGTTAAATTAGTGCTTCTTGATTGTTCGCTTTTCGTGTAGATATTTTAATGTCATTATTTATTAAACTATATTATTTTAATGACCTCAATGATGACTATCAATGTTCATTCTTTGATGGAATTTATTAGGGAGTTAAGGCTGAAAAACTGTCGCATGTATGCACTCTAATAATGTATTGTTCTATTAACCTTTTCACTGTATACTACCGGGAACTGTCGTTTATCGTACCAAAAAATTGTTGCTACCATCAAACGTGTTCATTTTCTCATTCTACCGGTCTAGTAAGGTTAATTTTCATTACACACTAGTTCATTCATGGGATTATTGTCGTCCAGCTGAATTGTCTTTTACGGTAGATCAGTGAGGACCAAGGTGTTCCCAACCAATAAATAGCACCTATAACCTTGATGCCCGACCGTTGCTGCTATCTTCACGTGGTGGTCGGGCTTGCCTACCGTGATAAATTAATCGGACTATACTGGCTGAAACATTCGTTTCTCAAAGTCCGAGGGCGAAGTCGTACGGCTGACTATACAGGGGTGTGACGGCCGTAAGTTGTTTCCCTCAACCAGCATAACAGCGATGCTGCCTTCTCACAAAGAAGGGATGGGGTTAGAAAAGGTCAACCCTAAAAACACACACCTCACCTTATCCCACGAATTTCCGTCTCCGGCGATAATGTCTCAACACGTACGGAGTTAACACAAAAATTACCCAGGAAAATGTCTTATGTGACCGACCTCAAGCAATTATCCCTTGGGCACTGTGGTCACGCTCTCAGGTCACTAAGACCACCTCTAACCCAATTTCTCCTTCAGGTATTTCTAGAAGAACCCTTCCACGGTGTGGACAACTGGAAATTGACGACCACTCACATACCTCTAACAGCACTCAAGACCACTATATTCGTAATCGATTTCCCTCTTTAATTCCGATTATTCCTCCTACATCAACTATCAACTCTATACTTCCTGCTCAAGTGTCACTATGACCAACGATTCTAGTACACAGAATACTGTCCTAGGTCTACTGAAACCTCGCTCCAAACTATACATTGGGCCCTTCAATGTACGGACTCTATATGAAATCGGTCAGCAGACCTCTTTGAATTATACTAAAATCTCATGCAATCGGTGTATGCTGTGTCTCCGTAACACATGGAGGATCCTAGTGTGGTCATTCATTTGACCTCACCTAACTAAAACGGGAAGCCGAAGAGGTACACCCTCCGTTTATCTGGCGACCCGATGGCAAGTTCTCGTGGACTTGAGGGTGTAGGCATAGCATTTATTATGAGGGCAGAACAAGCACTTTTAAAGTGGACCCCTGTTGAAAGTTGCCTATGTATTTTTCAGCTAAACGGCTCCGTAAGAACTCGGAAGGTTAGGGACACCCGTCGTTGCCTTTTCGTCGTTGTTGCCTACGTTCCCACTGACTGCAGCTCGGATGAGGTGAAGGATGAGTTTTACAGAAAGCCTTCTGATATTCAAAAAGCTAAACACTCAGACAGTACTCTTAGCAGGTGACTTTAATGCTCAAGTAGGTAGCTTAAACGAAACAAAGACATTTAGGTGGGTATACTAGTATTTATTTATTGGTACAAAAGGGCGCCGGATACATATGCGCCACATAAGTCACTTGGTTTTTGTGTGGGCTGTGATACTGCCCGGGTTCTCAAACCAAAGCTGGTGGTTTTCTTAGAGGGCCACACCCGGAGCCTTCGACCCAAAGGTCTGATCCACAAGGCAACGTCAGGACATGCAGTCCCATGATAACCGATGATTAACGACTGGTTTATACACCATTTGTTTTCTTAGGATTCTGGAGCCCATGTACACTATTGGTTTGGAATCAAGGTCTTCCAACTCCTGAGATTTTTTAAGGAATGTGGTCCAGTATTAGCAGTGAGATTAACTGAGGTCTTAGGTAGAATTTGGGAACTAGACGTAATCCCATCTGACTGGTCTCAATCACTGATTGTGCCAGTCTATAAGAAAGGAAAAAAGTCCTCTTGTGACAATCACAGAGGAATCAGTTTGACTAATATAATGTCTAAAATATTAGCTTCAATAATACTTCGACGCCTAACCAAAGCTCGTGAAGAGCAGACTAGAGAAAATCAGGCTGGTTTTCGACCTGGATATGGTTGTATAGATCAGTTATTCACACTACGTCAGGTTCTAGAACACAGACACACGTTCAAACGCCCCACAATGGTAGTATTTCTCGACCTTAAGGGGGCATTCGACTCTGTCGATCGTAAGGTTCTATGGCAGTACCAAAGAAGTACATTACCTTATAAAGGCTCTCTACTCGAACACAACTGGTCGAGTCAGGGCTTATGGCGAACTGTCATCAGAATTGATTACCTCAAGTGGTGTTCGTCAGGGCTGTCCACTCTCCCATTCTTGTTCAACTTTGTGGTCGAAGTACTTTTAGAGATAACACTCTCCTCATCTAAATTTCCAGGGGTTGAACTTCTACCGAGAGGTTCACTAGTTGACTTAGAATATGCAGATGACATAGTTTTATTTGGTGAAGACGCTGACAAAATGTAGAGTCTTCTGTCCACTCTAAGCAACAATGCAAGCATGTTCGGGATGCGATTCTCCCCCTCGAAATGCAAAATATTGCTTCAGGATTGGGTTGCATCGACACTCGAACTAATGATAGGGAGTGAAGTAATTGAGCGTGTCGATCGCTTCACTTATCTTGGAAGTCTCATCAGCCCTTGTGGTCTGGTATGTGACGGAATCTCAGCATGGATACAGAAGGCTCGACTAGCCTTTACCAACTTGCGTCATTTATGGCGTAGGAGAGATATCCGTCTATCAACCAAAGGACGTGTTTACTGCGCAGCAGTTCGTTCCGTCCTGCTTTATGGCTATGAAACATGGCCGGTAAGAGTAGAGGATATTCATAGGTTACTAGTATTTGATCATAGGTGTCTTCGAAATATTGCTCGTAAATTGTGGGACCATCAAGTAAGTAACGCAGTTGTTGGGAAACGGGTACTAGGTAAGGATGGAAAATCAATTGATGAAGTAGTGAAACTTCATCAGTTGAGATGGCTGGGACACGTGCTACGTATGCCCAATTACCGAATGCCCCGACGTGCGATGTTCTGTGGGGTAGGAGTAAGTTGGAAGAAAGCTTAAGGCGGCCAGACCGAAACATGACACAAGTCCATGAAGTCACTGACAAGTGGTCTGAGTCATGTCGGTAGGTGTAGACTACCTGGTTGGGGACCGCGAGATGATAGCAACCGATGGTTAGAGACCCTGAATGACATGGCTCAAAATCATTTGCAATGGCGCAGGTGCATACACTCTTTGTGTTCTCCTGAATCCTCCTTGTCTCTTTTTTTCTCTTTCCAAATTTATTTCACTGTATTATACTCTTTAAGTAACATCTCCAAACCCTAATCTTTCCGATTACTGCTTATACTCTTATTACCTCTACCACTACGGGATTTGAATCGACCACTGGATCTCTGTGCTAATGTGGTGTGGTAACTCGAACTGATGTACGTACGTGCGAAGTTCTACGTTGTTACTGACTGACTGAGGTGTACCGTCCATGTCCATTAACCTGGTTAAAGCGCCGGACCTTCGCTCTTTTCACCCTCTCAATCTCGTGAACACCCCGTCGCGAGAAGACAGTGAGTTGGACTTCTCTGACAGTGGCTGTATACGCGTGGCCATATGAGAGTATTTCGAGAGGGAGAGCGGACTCTTCCAACCCTCGGCCGTACCAAGGCATTTGGAGGCTCAGCGAACAGATAATTGTGGTCGTCTGCTGAAACTGCTTAAACAATCGTTTATTTCCAAAAGCACTAATTTTAAGCATAAGGAGAGACATCGCCTAACGTGAGGACCCCTTGCACCAAACTTACGATGGACTCAAATAGACCATAATGTCATCAGTCATCGTTGGAGAGGCTCAGTAGAAGACTGCCGCTGGTTTTGGAATACATGTTTTGACTGATCATGCTCTAATACGAACACGCATTTATTTGCGCCTCACTGGACTCAGAAAAACCACAATAAAAAGACCAATTAGAGTTGAACTCAACGATGAGGAAATCAAAGGTAAATTCGAGGAACAACTGAAGTCACACTTAAGCGATTTTGAAAACGAGGCGGACCCAGATGTTGTTTGGGAAGGTATGCGTACAGCTGTAGAAACAGCAGCAACATCTATTAGTGATTTGAACTAAAGGATCACGAAAAACCAATGGATGTCTGTGACCTCTATTGCACTGATAAACTCTTGTAGACTCATTCCATCAGACTCCGAACACGATGACGAATGAAAACAAATCAGATCTAGGTTAACCGAAAGTCTACGATCAGTGGTGGGCAACGAAAGCAAAAGACATGGGAAAGGTAGCAGCTTTAGATAACACTGGACAGCTTTCCAGATTAATAAAAGAAACTGGAACTAAGAAGTCAAGTGTGAGACAATCTCCGAGAAAGACGACACTTATCTGCTCTCACTCTAGACGTTTAGAACGATGGGTGCAAAACTTTAAGGAGCAGTTCAGCTGGCTTTCAGCTACTCTACAACTGCCCATCATTCCCAAACAGCCTGAAAGAGACATTGAGATAGGCCACCTGACTCTCATGGCAGTTCTAAAAGCTACAGATAAGATAATCTGAAACGAGAAAGGGCTGCTGCTTCAGATGGATTAACTCTAGAGGTCTTTAAGTATGGTGGCCAGTTTTAGCGATTAGTTTGACTTAAGTTATAGCTAAAATCTGGGAGTTGAACGCAATCTCATCTGACTGGTCGCAATCACTGGTTGTCCCAATATATAAGAAGGGGTCAAAATCATCCTATAATAACCATAGAGGGATCAGTTTAACTAATATAGCATCTAAAATACTAGCCGTAATAATTATCGAACGCTTAACAAACACTCGTGAAAATCAAGCTGGCTTGAGACCCGGTCGTGGCTGCATCGACCATATAATCACCATTCGTCAGGTTTTAGAACACAAACATGCCCGTCGGCGTCCGACAATTATAGTTTTTCTTGACTTAAAAGCTGAATTTGACTCTAGACCGAGGGGTTCTGTGGCAGTGTCTGTCATTGTAAAGTGTACCTCAAAAGTACATAAACCTTGTGAAGTCTCCTTACTTGAACACTATTAGTCGAGTCAGAGCTTGTGGCGAACTGTCATCCGATTTTGTAACCACAAGTTGTGTCTGGCAAGGCTATCTACCATCTTTATTTCTGTTTAATTTCATCACAGACCGACTGCTGGAAGTAATGTACTCGTCGCCTGAAGTTTCAGGAATGGACTTCCTACCAGGTGGTTCACTCATTGACTTGGAATGCCTAGATGATATAGTTCTGTTTGGTGAAGATGCTGATAAAATGCAGTCTTTTGGTAGAAATATGTAACAATGCCAAGAAGTTTGGGATACGTTTCTTCCCCTGTAAATGCAAATTATTGCTTCAGGACTGACCTGCGTCAACATTTGAACTAAGGATAGGTAGAGAAGTAGTCGAACGCAAAGACAACTTCACTTCTCTTGAAAGTCTGCTCAGCTCTGAAGAGTTGGTGTCTGATGAAATCTCTACACGGATTCAGAAAACTCGTTTGGCTCTTGACAACTTACGTCACCTGTGATGAAAGCGAGATATCCGTCTGTCAATAGAAGTACGAGTATACAGCTCAACATTTCGTTCTGTTCTACTTTACGAATTCGGTGTTCATCTTGTTGTTCTAATGAAGTATGGCAACTTGGATCAATTTATATATGTGCCTAGTCCTATGTTGTAGATGACTAACTGATGTCCTCACAACGAACAGAAGGTTATGAGAAGCCCTATCTCAGATACTACATCTCATCTTACTGTACGAACTTCCAATGATGGTGGCATAACTCGCAAATTATGAAGTAAATGCATCAAAGATGCTTTGATAAAATTATGTACATAACTGATTTCGTGCAGTTGTTTCTTTTGATTTGCGTTCATGCTCATGTCAGCAAATCCTATTCTAATGATCCTTTTTTTCAAATTTTTTGGAAGATTTATCGTCTCATGGAGTTGGTGAGTGGAAAACAGCAACCACCTGCGTTTCGTTAACAGCATTCGTAGACTAACAGTAGAAAATGGAACCTTCGCTTATATATCTAGAAAAATCCAAGACATTTTTGATAAACCAATTGAAAAAAGATTTATTATGTTCACATATTGTTGTCGTACACTTCCCAAGGAAAAGATGTATTAAATGTCAAAAACAAATTATTCAGCATAAAATATCTCGGCTTGATACATGCAATATATTATAAACCACTAATAATCATGTGACAGTTATAACTATCAAGCCGTAATTGTAGACCAATAACAAATAATCACTTATTTTGTTGTTTCGGGTGACTTGGTGTATGTCAGAACTCAAAAAACAAGAGGGAATAACGAAGCAGTAATAACAACACGCTGTCATAGAATATGTCCAACCAATAAGTATAAACATTTCTCAGTTATTCCCGTTGATAGCTTACAGTATGAAAACCAGATAGGCTCAATATACCAAACTGGACCCCCGGTATTATTCATCTAAGGATGCCTAGAACAGCAGAAAAGAAGTAAACTGTTTGAAATGATATTAGAACTCAAGGTCTAATAAAAGAATGATTATTATACACCACTGCTGCCGATTTTAAACCATATCACCTGAGGTTTTCAATCATTGACTCCGACAAAGTAGAGGTGGATAACTTTAATTCTTTGAAACACTGTGTTGTTTTTCAGTGTAATCAAGTTTCTATCTCGGTGACATGGTATCGTTTATCCGCATGTTTTTGAAATTTTTATAAACCACAGTCTTGTGCATCTGTGTACGTTTAAATGATCTGCTAAGTATTCACTTGTGAAACTAGCTCAATTTTATTTTATTGAATGTATAAAAGGTAACAGTCTCTAAATTTAGCTCACATCGGACAATAAAGGAAGACAAACTCTGAATAATCGACAATGCTGAGTAGACCAAAAATTTGAACAGAAGGATTTTTGTAATAGTTAAACTATGAAAATGTGAATGTTGTCACTTTTCGTTGTTTGCAGAGTTTGAAATAACCACATTATATGTCCTGACACCTCTAAATGATGTAAATAGTCAGTAATTTCAGTGATTGTGAATTGTCTTGATATAGGACTTGTTTGTCATTTTAAAATAATTGGTTTTCCTGCACATGTAAGTTAAAATTACTCCCTAGTTAATGACTTCACAGTTTCTTTCTGTTTCTTATTTCAAATACATGATGTTCTATAATATTCACTGACTTTTTACCACTTCAAATGATTATCAATTTTTATATTCATTTAGATGGAGCGGCACTGTTTTATGTGTCGGTAAAGGAGGACAAGAACTGTGATTTGCTAAATCGTTATCTACAAAGTCGTATCTACGGTTTTCCATTCAGTCAAACTGCGTATGTTGTCGAAAGAGACTGTATTTTCGTGTAAGTCTTCAATTTACCTAAGGTAAATAATTAACTTACAGTCCAGCCGGATGGGATAACCTAAAGAAAATTGGAATTCTTGAGGAAAACCTTACTCAAGTTCAACCGCATAGTCTGTATTCTGACGTAGTTCCTCCACCACCGTCGAAAAAAGCAGCAGTTCGCGAACCGGAACTATTTACTCAAGATGACCAAGTGGGTTGTATAATATGTTTGTAATGTGGCAAGTTTAAGGGTAATCAATAACTGAGATTTTGTCTAGAGAGTACTTCATTCTTGCAAATCATCAGAAATGTTGATATCTATCATTAGATAGTAATGTTTACGATAAATGTAACCAGGAGTGCTAAATAATGTTCATCTGAAAGCTACTGTCCCAAGCTCTATGCTGATTATGAATGAAGTTTGTAATCAATTGCGAAAATATAACTATCAATGTTTCGAAAGTTAGACAATTCTCAAGGCACCTGTAGGGCTTGGGTTTGTGGAACTTAAGTCCGCGGTTCATAAATGTAACTATGATTTAGGTTCCTTTAAGAGATTTTAGGGTCTAGGAGATAGTGGCTTCGTAGATTAATACATTTTCTGGAAATCTTATATTCATCGTGAATTTGCCCTATTTGACATGCAATTTTAATTATCTATTTAATTTAACATTTTCTCAATCAGCACGAGCATAATCATGAAAACAAAAGTATTTCTAATTTATGTATTTTCGGGAACTGTTCTATGGGTGGCTTTTAATCTTGACCTTCATAATTTCTAAATAGTATCTATGAATACCTACTACTCAGTCAAATTTCAGTCTCATAGAGATATAAGTTCATGTGAATTTGCTAACCTTTTAGAAAATAATGAGTACTAAAGATGGATATCATGGTTCTGGTTCAAAACCTGTCCTATTTGACTCGTTCATTTTCTTAAGTTAGTTCCATCAGCTTTAGTGAAGTAAAATCACGACAGCAATACAAAACTCACCTAATTTTTTGGTAAATTGTATAACCTGTGGTACATATGCTATGTCTGTCAACAAATATGTAGTAAACCAGAGAGACCGGTCAATGACAAGGAAAGCAAGACAATCACTCAGATTCAAGAGCAGAAGAGACATTTTTGGAAACTCTTGAATAGACCAGCCCCACTAAACACTCCCGGATGTCGAAGCAGTACACACAGCTCTTCTTGTAGATGTCACTTCACCAGCGACCGAAGAAATCAGGATGGCCACCAGCCAAATCAGAAGTGGGAAAGCAGCATGACCAAACAATATACTAGTCGAAGCACTGAAGTCAGACATCGAAGTAACTGCCAAGATGCTCTTCGTTCTATTCAGGAAGACTTGGGGGGGGGGAAACAAGTGCCACCTACAGACTGAAAAACGGCACCTCATCAAGATATCAAAGAAAGGAGATCTGAGCAAGTGTGAGAACTACAGAGGCATCACATTACTGTCAGTATCAGTAAACGTTTCAACAGAGTGTTGCTGTACCGGATGAAAGATTCAGTAGACGCCCAGCCTCCAGATCACCAGACCATATTCCCCAGGGATCGGTCGTGCACAGACCAAATCGCAACATTACGGATCATCGTTCAACAACCAGTTGAGTGGATATCGACACTATACATCAATTTTATTGACTATGAGGAGGCGTTTGACAATGTGGATAGGAGGACTTTATAGAAACTCCTTCGACACTATCAGAGATTAGCTGAGAAGATCGTTAACATGATCCAGAATTCATGCAAAGTGGTGCATGTAGGACAGTTGACAGATGCATTGGAAGTGAGGACCGGAGTCAGACAAGGTCTCTTACTCTGCTCCTCCCTCTTTCTCCTGGTGGTTGACTGGATTATGAAGACCTCGTTAGCTGAGAGGAAACACGGAATACAATGGACAGCTCGGAATCAATTAGACGATTTGAACTTTTCAGATGATCTGGCCCTCCTATCCCACACACGAACAAATGCGGATGAAGACAACGAGTGTTGTAGCAGCCCCTGCATCAGTAGGCCTCAGTATACACAAGGGAAAAAGCAAGATCCTGAAATACAACACGGAAAGCATCAACCCAATCACACTTGATGGAGAAACTCTGGGAGAGGTGGAAACTTTCGCGTACCTGGACAGCATCATCAATGAACAAGGAGGATCCGATGCAGACGTGAAGGCACGGGTTGGCAAAGCAAAGCCAGCATTTCAACAATTGAGGAACATGTGGAACTCTAAACAACTGTCAATCAATATCAAAGTCAGAATCTACAATACGAACGTCAAGACTGTCCTACTGTACGGAGCTGAAACTTGGAAAACTACTACAACCATCATCAAAACGGTGCAGGTATTTATAAACAATTGTCTATGTAAGATACTTAATGTTTGTTGACCGGAAAGCATCAGCAGCAGCCTACTGTGGGAGAGAACAAACCAGCTTCAGCTGAAGAGGAAATTATGAAAAGACGTTAGAAGTGGATATGACATACATTATGGAAATCATCAAACTGTTTCACGAAGCAAGCCGTAATTTGGAATCTTGGAAAAAACGGAAAGGAGGAAGTCCAAAGAACACACTACGTCGAGAATTGGAAGCAAACATGAAAAGGATGAATAAAAACTGGAAAGGATTGCTCAGCACAGAGTTGGATGGAGAATGCTAATGATCAGCCAATGCTCTTCCACGAGGGATAAGAGGCATAAGTGAGCAAGTTTCAGTCTAAGAAATTATTATTATTATTCACAAACAGCTAATGGGTACATAAGTTTTGTGAATAAGCCACTTTAAGTTATTTCAGAAATGCAATGAAACACATGTTTCAGTAACGTTAGCATAATATCTGCCATATTTAAGCAGGTTTTATGGCATTGCGAAGAATATTGAGATAAATTTCAGTAACTTATTGATATTTAGGTTCCCTTGAGATAACTTTGAATGGTCCATCGGATGGAGGGCTATGTGCTACATTTATTTTGTTACGCTATATCCAGACGTGCTTACAATTATTTAGATCCTAAAGTACATATGTCGCTCGCGATTGTTCACCAGTAGTTATTGGTTTAAGTTTGTACATATGGTCCCATAGTTGGTCTACGTAACCTTCTAAATCATACAGGCGTAAGTAAGTAATTGTTTCATTTCAGCAAGTTACATAGTGTGACAATGCAAACCTGACCAGCTGTTCAAGTTTTTTGATTATCATTAGGGTTCGAGGCTGTTAATATGACGAGTTACTATATTTGGTTTCCTCAGTTGCTATCAATTGAGTGCAACATTATATCAGTCGTTTCAACAGTCAAATCGTGTACGTAGTCAAAATATTTAGTTTTAAATGTCTTTATTTTGAGTTTGGATGGATTTAATAAAACTACCGTACACTTTTCACTTTTGGCACTGAATTTTTTTAGCCATAATTTTTACATAGCATCTATAATTATCTAGTGTTTTTTCATATATAGTCATTCCTTACTCGCCTCTCGGTCAGCATGCAAAGAGATAATGCTCAAGCAAATATTTCAAATAATACAATATCTGGTAATTCGGATTCTGTCATGGATCAGCTTGGAACAACTACTGCCTTGATGAATACATCTTCCAATGTTGGAAGTAGACCAGTTTCTGGATCTCCTCGTACACCTGGTTCTGCTGGTAGATCAAAGGTATTCGACCAAATATTTTTGTCACGGTACTTAATTTATTTGGTAAACAAGATCTATTATTTCAATTTTCACGACTACTTTTAATTTCCAAAGGATTATTTTCTACATTTAGTAATTTTCTTCATTTGATAACTGTTTCAAAAGATTTATGATCACCATAAATCTGGCCACTACATACTGTTAGTGTAAATGTTCATCCTTATTAATAAAGAACTGCTCTGCAATATGCTAATCAGCATTAACACCTAAAGTACAAAATTTACTACCTATTAGGATTATATTTATCTGGCCCTACAAAAGTTTATGCGGCATGAAAGTCAGTCAGCTACAACATAGGACTAGGCACATATATAAATTGATCCAAGTTGCCATACTTCATTAGTACAACAAGATGAACACCGAATTCGTGGAGGCAATTACGTCACTGGTAGCAATACATATTAAAAAAATATTGCATATAAGAATATGATACAGGAAGAAAGAACTGGTTCGTGGAAAGAAAAGTCTAAATTAATTTTAAGTTCACAGTTTAAGGGAAGACAAAGAATGTATACACTCACGCCATTGTGATTGATTCTCAGCCATTTCACACAGTCTCCGACCATTGGTTACGATAGTCGCGCAGACCACAACCAAGTAGTCTGCATGGCTCAGACCAGAAGTTAGTGACTTCAAGAAATGATGCCACGTTTTGGTTTGGCCGCCCCTAACTTTTTTCCGACTAATCGAGTAAGTAACGCAGTTGTTGGGAAACGGGTACTAGGTAAGGATGGAAAATCAATTGATGAAGTAGTGAAACTTCATCAGTTGAGATGGCTGGGACACGTGCTACGTATGCCCAATTACCGAATGCCCCGACGTGCGATGTTCTGTGGGGTAGGAGTAAGTTGGAAGAAAGCTTAAGGCGGCCAGACCGAAACATGACACAAGTCCATGAAGTCACTGACAAGTGGTCTGAGTCATGTCGGTAGGTGTAGACTACCTGGTTGGGGACCGCGAGATGATAGCAACCGATGGTTAGAGACCCTGAATGACATGGCTCAAAATCATTTGCAATGGCGCAGGTGCATACACTCTTTGTGTTCTCCTGAATCCTCCTTGTCTCTTTTTTTCTCTTTCCAAATTTATTTCACTGTATTATACTCTTTAAGTAACATCTCCAAACCCTAATCTTTCCGATTACTGCTTATACTCTTATTACCTCTACCACTACGGGATTTGAATCGACCACTGGATCTCTGTGCTAATGTGGTGTGGTAACTCGAACTGATGTACGTACGTGCGAAGTTCTACTTTGTTACTGACTGACTGACTGACTGACTTTTTCCGACCATCCCCAACACTAGTCAGCATAGCGCGTCGTAGTAATCGGTATCCAGGCATACGTAACACGTGGCCCAACCATCTCAGTCGATGAAGGTCTACAACCTCATCAATTGATTCATCATCGTTCCCTAATACTATGCGTCTAAACTCACTATTACTTACCTGGTGATCCTAGCAGATGCGAGCAATATTTCTAAGACATCTGTGATCAAATACTAGTAACTTACGAGTATCTTCTACTCATAATGGCCACGTTTCACAGACGTAAAGTAGAACAGAACGAAGTGTTGAGCTGTATACTCGTACTTCTATTGACAGACGGATATCTCGCTTTCATCACAGGTGACGTAAGTTGTCAAAAGCCAAACGAGTTTTCTGAATCCATGCAGTGATTTTGTCAGTTTGTGATGAAAATCGTCCACTAGTCATCATCTAAAGCGTTCATTCTCGTGTATTGAAATTTTGAAGTAGTCGTAAATTTGTTCTGTGCGTAGATGATTTTCCTCAGCTAATATATGGACGTACGAAACCTGGATCTAAAGCTTTTCATTTATTTGGCGCTTAAGTTTTTCATTGTTTTGGATTATTGTTCTAAAATGCATTGTTTTAGGTTTTACTTGCTCGACTCGACAACATTATTTATTATTTGATGTGTATGTTATTCGTAGTCTTGACTATCTGAAATTGTTGTTTACAAAGGCAATCTGTTTTGTTCTATTAATGCTAGTGGTATTAGTTATTTCAGAATCTAGCTTAATTTATTTTACTTCTGAAGTTTGTTTGCGTTTTCTTAATGTTGTCACTGTAACAACTGTTCTTCATGGGCTACCAATAAACAGTATTTCGCTTACGTATATGAATATATAAGATTCTGATGAGACAGTGTGCGAATTTTTTTAAACTAAAGTCCCTGCCTTTAAAAGTAAGTACTACAACAAATAGGATTTACATAAAAGTATCTTGTATATTTTTATCGAAATGATCGAAACTGAGGTTTGTGTTAACAAGTTTCAAACTTCGGGAATTTTATAGTATATTGGATATCGTTTTCAAATTAAATATTTCAATGCGTTATATATTTCGATCTTATCTTTACAAATATCCTAAATATTACATGTGATTCTCTGTTAGATCCATCAGTGCAACATACTGAATAGGGCATTACAAAGACGGTATAAATCCCACTTAGTTAAGATAAAGGGCCACCAACCCATTGATCACATGGTCCAACACAGTTTCACCTAAAGGAGTTTGGAGGAATAAGTTGTATCATTAGCTTTAATACAACATATATATCTGATAGTACACAATCCTTCGGATGGCTTTTGAATTAAATCACTCATTATCCATTGATTTTGTTCTCCAATCTTATGATAAATACCATATCTACTGAAGATTATTGTCACATCACAGTGCTGAAGAATAAAATTGTGATACGGTATCGCGTTTTTTTTGCTGTCGTTGAAATCCTCATTATTTTGCAAAACCTAGATTCGACACTTCTAGCTTTAATTTGATGTCGATTCGTTAGTTAGTATTTCTCTTAACTTTCCTTTAAGTATATCTAAAATATCTCGGGACTAGATGATCCCTAAGTACACCACCACTTAAATACTTTGCCTTGAAAAGACTAAAATAATTCATCTTTAACTAAATTCAAGGATTCCTCAATCTAATAACATTATATTCTTGTCTACTTTATTTTAATTTTTATGTCGTCACTTTCAAGTAGTAGGCAATTTAATTCAACTATTATTTGAAAATGTTTTTGTTTATATACAGTTTTATATCGTTATCACATTACCTTTGTATCATTTAATTCACTAGTAGTCGTTTTGTTTGTAGTCACTAGATTGCCATATATGTGTACAAATCGATCAAATAATGATAATGATCTACATCATGATTAGCCATGTCCTAACGATCGATAAGAAAAGAAACAGAAAATTTGGTATAACTATAATCGATAGGCATACATTTAGATAATTCTGTTTATCAACCTGACTGTATAATTGATGGCAGAGAAAAGTCAGTGTATAGACTATATGAACCAATGAAAATAAGTAATTCCGGTTTATGTGAGATAAAAAGTTTTAGCATTTCATTTTCTTTAATCTCACATCAACTCAGACTATTTCAATGTGTTTCACAATATATTGCAGTAGTTGCAACACAACAGCACGTAAACTAAATTACACATTAGTTACCGATTGAAGAATGAATACACTAGTAATTTCTTGTTAAGAATAATTTCGCGACATGATATGGTGTTACCAAACTACTGGTAATCCCCAGTGGTTCAGGGACAAATCTCCTAAGTTTCAGGTTGTATTAACTCTGATCTCTCTTGGCCGTCTCACGCTTTATTGTTATCGAAGAAGGTTTTCCGTCTGACTTACTACATAAAGAAATTGCATGCTCTTGGAATTACTCGATATTTACTCTTACAATTTGTCAGTTCTTGCTTATTACCTATTATTCTTTACTGTTCTCCATTATGCTTTCCCGGGCGTTTGAGAAAAGACTTTGCTGTATTGTGGAGAGTGCTGAAAGCAGTTAGCAAGGTGTGTGGTGAATCTTTCGAGGTCATAATTAATATGGTTGTGGATAGACATCTAAAGTCATGCGAACTCCTGGCATGTGTTATTTTATCAGATACTAGCCATCCCCTTCACTCTTATCTTTCTCCTTGTATATTTTCTGGTAGAACGAGATGTAAATACATTAAAATTCATGCACGCAGGCGAAAGTATAAGAGTTCTATAATACCTTACCTAGCAAATATACTCTGTGACGAACAGGTTGTTAGAGTTAACCTAGTCAATAACTTTCATTCTTAACATGTCTCTAATTTGAAAAGTTTCACAGCTTTTTTCAGATTTTTTTTTCGTGTAAGAAACTTGTTGAAAAACCCTGTGCTGACAACTCTATATTGTACCAAAATATCATATTGAATAAAGCCACTAATAATAATGAGAGGTTGGACGTATCGTTTTTGCACAAGCTTGAACTGATGGATCGTCAACGCTTCAACAGTGCATAAGTTTTTAATTCGGCCTCCCTTCGATCCGGTTCCTTTGATTGTGTAGCTCTTAAGGGAAGACTCCTTCGAAGCGACGTGTCCAGAGTTGATTAGGTACCCCTCTATTGAACTGGTATTTTTTGCATTACCCTTTTAAAAGCTACAATGGGTAATGCCTTGAGATGCGTTTGGAAAATGATCGCTTTTTGTGGCCAATGTAACCTGTCTCAGAGGAGCAGGTGAATTCATAGATGCACATCTATGTGACCCAAAGCGGAATTTCATCCTCAACACATGCGTGAATGGTAGGTCGGCTTGAGAAGGCAATTCGGAGCTTAGCTGAATTGAAGGTTTTATTCAGGGATTTTGAAATCCGTTTTTCTAAAAGTTCGGCAGTCGTATCTCCTTTAAATTTGATATTCATAAAAAGTTTTCTTTTGAACTGTTGGTGCTTTTTCAGGACGTAGTCTTGCTGTTAAGTTTCTATTGACAAATCTAAGTGGATAATCATTCCTGATGAATATCTGTTGAAGTTGAAGGAGTTCGTCGTCTTATTGTGTCATTAGTAGATATTCGCCTAATCCTTGAGGATTAAGTGTGAGTTAAATTCCTCTTTCTACTCAATGGAATCCAGCTATGGAAATTCGTAAATTGACCATTCCATGTCAGTTTTCTACATCTAGATCATTATAAAGAACCATCTGACCTTTTCAACTGGACATCAGCTTAGGTAAATGATTTCGTCGGTCATTGCATTATCGATATGTAGGTATCATTACCAAGTTTCAACTTGACAATTTCGAATCAATTGAGCATTGGGTAGATTGTTATAAATAAATAATATATTTACAATATCCCAATGAGTGGTAAAATTAGATTTTCTGACGTTTCGTGACTCACTGTAAGCCACTTCTTCAGAGAATAAATAACCAAAATCAAAACTAATTCCAGTTAAAATAGTACAAAGGAACTACGCAAAAATATTATGTGCAGTCAATAAAAAACAGGTCTGAACAAGTCATTTCGATCAAGGTGATTTACAAGCGACATGTATGTAGATTTTTTGTGTATGTATGTGTGCAAGGTTAGGGATGTAAAAACGTAACCTTTGTGGTGCAAAAGGATAGAGTTTAATTTATATGTACGATAACAGTGTGAGATGTGAATAGAATCAGACATGGTAGCTTGGATAGATAGTTGAATTCGGAGGTATGATGAGGCCTTCTTTTCTATGGAGATCAGTATGATTAAGCATTATATGGAAAGCTTCAACTACTCTCCCTTCTTTGTAGTTGGAAAAACTTAATATATGGTTTCACTCAGCGTTTTTTGTCTGACTCAGCTAATATATTGATTTAAAGTAGATTTATTTTTTATTTTCATCAATGTCTGCAGTTTCTAGCTAATATACTCCGGATAAAATGGGTTTTTTTCTAGGTTCTTAATACTAAACCAAACACTATATGTACCAATACTAAAGTTCGAGTTAATTGAGTAGAATGTAAACAACAAAATAATGCCATATTTGTAGAATCTCGATAAGTAGCAACACTTTATATCTGTAAATAAGAACTTTCGTCTAAATTTGAACGAATAGTTTCACAATAAACGTTATATCTGCTTTTACATTGTCGTCTTTACCCCACTTCCGTTTACCACTCAAATCTTGTTTGTTTTTTAGCCTCCTTCAGCTGTTGGTGGAGCTGCTGGGACAACAGGTGGACCTGGACCAGGGGCTTCTGAAGGTGTATTAGCCAATTTTTTCAACAGTCTGCTTAGCAAACGCACACCTGTTGTTGGTGGAGTTGGCGGTATTGGTACATCTGCATCACTGAGTACACAAGGTTCTCTAGGTAATTGGACAAGTTTTGTTGAAATATGTTTGTTAATCTTCAATGTATTATAAGAACGCTGCTTTTATCGCTTAAGGAATATGTTATTTGACCGTATTGAAATTCTTATAAGATAGTTTATTGCGTATGTTATATGTATAATTTTACCGCTTAGGCGTATATTTTTTGAATAACCTAATTCATAATGTACAAAACTTTGGTTTAAGTGGAATTATCGTAATGGCTTTTTTGAACTTGATATCTGATATTATATTGTGTTACTTGTAACTCAGTTACCTCTACAGCAACCTGCACTTCGGTTTTACTTTAATTAAAACATTTGACATGGAGAGCCAGTCAGATGTAGCTTAATTAAACTTTCTATTGATGGCAATCAGAAGTGACCCGAAGGTCAAGTGCATTTCGTTGGGTCAATTTTCTAAGGTTAGAGTGGTATATATATATATATATATATATATATATATATATATGCATCTCATTCGGTAGTCCAATGCACTTTCTCGCTCACTCTTGTGATCTCGCTGAAGTAGTCAGTTGAGGGGGTTTTTAGCTCATTGTATCAGTATCAGATTTCGGACGCCGCACATCATAAGAGTATTCCTCAATTTTAATATGTGTATTTAGTTCCTATCTGAATATGTGTTCAGTTTTTGCTTTTGTATGCAGCCTTTATGGTGGATCGCTACCTTTAAGTCTTCAAGGGGAATTTATGAAAAAGCTATGTTTAGTTGCTTCTGTTCATGCTTAGGTTAATTCATAAGATAAGCTGATTACAGATGATGCTTTTACACCAGTTTCCACGCGCATCTGATTTGAGGACTTAATTTATCTATCGAACAAGTCTCTACACTATCGCATGGCTAACATCAATGATGTCCGCCCATTCCCCCCTACTTTGTGTGAACTTATGTGTGTCGCCTTCAACCACACCTTTCGATCGAGCTACCTTTCACGACTAACAGTTTCTGACTAGGCAGTTCACTTTCATACAAACTTTACACAACTTATTTTAAAGACGAATTCTACTTGCCTATTAGCGTCTTTAACTTTAAACTTTAGTATAGGAAACCGGCTTGTTAACACATTAGACGTAATAGTTTGAGAGGACTGAGTCTGCTATGTGGGATGACTTCATCTTCAACACCACACAACAGCGACACACTCAAGGTCCACACAAAGTGGGGGGGAATGGGCGGACATTATCGATGTTAGTCATGCCAAAACTCTGTGTGCGACAGTGCAGTGAATTATCTAGGAACTTGTTCCATAGACAAATTAAGTTCTACAAAGTTTTAAATAGTAAGTAGAGGACACAGTATGTGAGTCATTAAAATTTAGTATCGTTCCAAAAGAATCACAGGTAAGGCAAACCGAGGTGATTGAAGTTATATAATACCATTGCTAGGATCTTTTTTCAAACAGACTCAACAACGATAAATGCGGTTGTTACTTCTTGCTTCACTTTACAACCAAACTAGCTAAAATATCGGCATGTTTTTTCAATACTGTTTTTGAACCTTTTTGCTTTCTTAGGTTGCTCATTAGTTGTTATTGTAAATATAACATCAAGTGACTATAAGTTCTACTATTTATTAAAGTCGCAAGTGCACTTAGTTAAATAGTAACGTTCCCAAAAACGAGTTTTAGTGTTTGATGTGAACTACCTTCAAATCGATTACAGATAACTAAATCATAAGACAGTTTTGTAAACGTGCTATCGTCGAGACTACAGGAACGTGAATTTCCCACTTGGAGCTCGTTTGTAACACACCAGATGATACTGACGTCGTTATGAATAGTATAGGATAAACTTCATGATGTTTAGTTTGAAACTGCCTACTGCTGACCCATCGTATAAGACTTTGGAATAATACCATTCAGTGATTACTTATATGAAACGTAACTTCGGTTATTATCTGTCATAATAGCCTAAATGTATCTACTCTTTTTTATTCTTAGAGGATTCTATCTTCGATGTATTTCTATTCTTGTTGTCTTTTATTTCTTCACTGCTCTTGCAAAGTGTAATGTTATGAGCAGATAGACTTTTGTCTTTCTAATTCCTAACTAATTGTGAATTTCGAAGCTTTTCGTTTCAGTACATGTGGTAATTACTTTAGTATATGTGGTTTTTCTTGTATTCATCAGTTCACTTTTGTAGTAGCTGGTCACAAAATTATCCTATCCTTTAAGTTTTCTATCAGCTTCGTGATTATTTTCGTTAACGTCATTGTTTCTGTTGTTATCGCCATCTTATTATCGGTTTCTTTCTCTTACATTGAAAGAACTTACAGAAGGGCATCCATAGATTTTACCAAGTCAGGTTTTTTTCTGAACAAACTTCACTCGGAATCTGTTGTTTTCTTGTAAGTATCTTCCATAAAATTGAGATCGCTATTTGTATTTGAATAGTAAACCTTTATTCTTGTTTAGCATTTAAAAGAATGGTGACGTGGAAAATTTTCTTAGCGAAGCAATAAGCTGCTTATTCTTTTGGTAACTTTGAATTTTTAGTTGTTTGCTCTTAAACAAAAGATATTTAAGAAGTTATTGATGCTTCTTATCCTTTCTTGGCGAAAGTAATTTGTAGAAATTCATGAAATTCGTTTCTCATGTTAAATTAAGTGAATAATTTGATTTTTATAAATTAACTGCAGATAGGACGTCGATCTCACAAAAAGATATTCAATCTGAACTAAAGAGGTTGGCTCAAAGCTCTCGTGAAGCACTGGATGTTGGAGACAATGGTCCTGAACAGTTATTGGGTGATGTTCGACAACAAAAACTGGACGAAATGAAATCAGTTGTCTCCTCATCTCCTAAACCGACTAAGACAACATCTAGCACTAACGAGCAACCAAGTCAAGTTTAGCTCTGCATTGATTCTTATTATTTCCCATATTCTTGGTATACGAATTCGGTTAACAATTCAGATTATCTTCAATACAACGAACTGTATGCTTTAATATAACATTTTCATTCTTTTTCTTATTCTGATGTTTGGGTTTCGAGTTCCTTTTTCGTTATATTGTTTATATCAAACAAGCGCCTTCAATATGTGACTCATAACTTAGGTCCCGGTCATCATTATTCAAAATCAGTATTCCCAGAATTGACATTTGTGCAAAGCGGTTCTGTAGAGGGAACATTTGCTTTAGCTGTGTGTCGTAAATTGACCAACCTTATCACGCCGTCTCGACAGGCAAAACGGTGCGACTAGTAATTAAGTGCATGTTTTATGTAAGGCCGTAACCCTAATCATTGACCTGGAATCGACTGACATGCGATAAAGTAGTCAGTCAGTGATTTGAACTTCAGTCATTCTATAACATCAAATACCAAGAAAATATCAACTGGCTTGACCTAGTGGTTGGATACTATGAGTATTGGTATGTGTGCATATCAACACTTAAGTGGTGCTTTTCGTTTATTCGGCGACATGTACTAGACTGGGAATGCTATACTTACTAAACCCAACAAATTATAACAGGGATGCCAAAGCATTTATACAGTAACACGACTCCGGTGGGTGTTCATTACCAGTGTCACGCACTGTTGGTCTATGAAGTATAACATTGGGGTGGGTTCGAGATATCCCTGAGATTATTGGCTTCACAGCGCTGAGGGACAATCTTACGCAATATTTTCCTTGACAGGACTTTTGTCCGGTGATGATAGTTTGGACTCTGACGCTGTTTATTTCAAAACACAACCAGTGAGCAAGTAAGCGTTTGCGACTTCTCTTAATAACTGACGCTTCTGATGTAACCAGAGTCAGCTGCAATGTCCAGTATTACCACAACGTAGCTATAGTAACCTAAACTCTTGGTACCAAGAAGTAGCTAGTCCTCGAGTGTTACGAAGTACACTGTTCATCCTTTTTGAGCATGGTTATTATCATACACCGCATGGTCACTAACAGGAACGCCGATTGTTTTAATAAAACCAGAAGACAACTCGGAGAAGCGGTATCCGTCAAGAATTAAGGCGATGCCGCAAATATCGCCTCGATAGTTTGGAGTATCTGACAATGAACGTGTCCAATCTCACCGCGTTCAAAGCATCCAGAATCACGAATTACGAGAATGAAAATTTACTAAACTTGCTCTCACCTTTGTGGCTTGCTTTGCGATCCTTCTTTGAATTCGAAATCAAGTACAAAAGATAATTAGTTCATACAAACACTACAGTCGCAAATCCTTGAACTTTATTTAAATAACCTCTAATGCCTTGTTCACTCGATGGTGTACTTTGCTATCAGAGCCACTCAAACTCGCATTTGCTTATTAAGAGTTCCCGTATGCGTGGAAATGTGAAAAGTAGCACGACAGCGAATTGCGAAGCAAAACATAAGTAACACATGTTTTACAGATGTATTTCCTGCGATGAACCATATGTATCTCGTAGTAATAAATGCATTAAATTTAGTAAACCCAGACATATTTAGTCAGTAATGGGGGCTACTGTTCATTTCGGTGCAAATATACTCCGTTCATTGGTGCTCGTCTAGTTCCACTTTCTGCCAATTGCACTATTTTGAAAATTCCTTCTAATTATCGTACATATCTTGAAATAGGTTTTTCAGTCACATCAACAATTCTAGTTTGTGCATCATTTACTGATATCAAGGTTTCAGTATATGTTCACTAACGAGTTGACACAGTCGTTTAAGATTTATTAAACTAATCCCGGTTTTTGAAGCTTCTGGCTTGAAAAAAGTGTGAAATATGTTGTAGCAGCTATAAAATTTCGATCTCGCATATAAAACTGCATGCATTTTTTATTTAAGTCTTGTTTAGTGTCGATCTGTACTTCCACCTGAACTGTATAGGCAACATGCGAAATTACAATACGCGGATTTTAATGATTTATACGACATAATGTCTGCATGTTTATCTGTATTGTCGAAATTATGCAGACTAATGTCTGAAAAGCAAGCGCAGGTCCGGTGAAATTTCACTGAGCCCTAGCAAAATCATCAGGCAATCGGGTCTTTGAATATCGAGCACGGTCAAGGACAATCAGCACGCATCGTTTGTTCGGACGTCATGGACTGGCCATGCGTCAGTGGTCTTACCTCCGCTTCTGTCTACTTTGACTAATATATTTTTGTAATAACGTCTTCTGTTTTGTACAATCTTCAAAGCATCTATGATTCCTTGATACATCAATAGGGTAGCCCACGTAAAGTGCTAACCATGGGGTTTGACTTTGACGTTGCCTAGTTCGTCACACCATTCCCGTCTAACTCGAGCTGGTGGTTGACACAGGAATTGGAGAAAAATAAATTCAGTCAGTTGATGGACTTTGAAATAATACAGATATAAACGAGAGCCTGGGATAAATTCTGCAAATTATAACCCACATCTGGACGGCCACCTCAAATATAATGACTATCTGCTTAGAAATAGACATGAATTAAACAATAGGGTAGTGTTTTCATAGATGAATAGTATCCTGGAAACCACTATTATCACATCATTTTGACGTTACGAATGTTTGCTCATGACATTCGGTTAAAAAATCCGTATAACAATTTACATATCCGTTGATGATATATTCAAAGTAACCAACCTAAAGATATGTTTGAATTTTGACCAGACCTTAACCACTAATATCTTTTATAATCTAAACGTGCTAAACCAGTGAGATCGAAAGTCAGAAGCGAAGAGGGCCGAATATATAGTTGTTAGGATATCGATATATCGAGAAGTGATTGATCTAAGCTGACTAGCGGCTGTAGAAGTGAAGCATGGCGTACCCAAGCGCCTCCATGTAGGTGAGTCTATTAAAGCTGACGTAGTCAAAAGTCGAAGCCTTACAGATCTATTGATTTCGATTATTTATTTACCGCTAAAAAAATTAACTACGATGAGTTGAAAATTAATTGCTGTTTTCTAATACTTGGAATCGGTAACTGTCAGGTCGAGTACATCCAATGCACTGGTTAGTTTACATCGTAGATTAACACTTAATTACATGTCCTTAATGAGACTCTTGTCTGACCAAATTTGTGGGAGTTCATGAACAGCCAAACTGGATGAAATGGCTTAGACACCGCTCAATACAATGAAACACAATGTTACCACGTCAACTGTACTTGAACACCCAGATTACAGAGTATCGATTGTAACTGATATGGACGCACGCTTAATTGAACGACAACCTACCACTCACACGATGAGGGTTAGTTATAATAATTTAGTCGACTGCTAGAAATTTTCTTTTTAGCTAAAAACGTATCTCAATGAACAAAAATTTTAGATCGACAGGTATTTAGATGTGATTCGACAAGATTGTTCAGTACTTTTGTTAAGTGTTAAAAATTACGAATTGTTTGACTTTTCTGCTGAAGGACGACTTGTCTAGGTTACTAGCTGCAAACATACCAATTTATACTAATTTATCGTGTTGCCACCAGGTCGACAACACTAAATATGTGTGAAAAATTTTCAATTAGAGAAACAGAAACGGCGAAACGTCTTTGGTCAGTTAAACGTACTTAAATAACTTTCAAACTATTGTAGGTCTAGCCTTCTAGATGAAGTAACAAACAAAGCTAAAGTTGGTCTGTCGGACTCCAAAAATCTTGTCGTATTTGGTGACGATCAGTGCGGAAAATCAACTTTGATTTGTCGGCTTCAAGGCAATGAAGACAAGCGGGAAGGATTTGGTCTGGAATATGATATAATCGAGGTGAAAGATGAAGTTAAAGATGGTAGTTATGCAAACAACATAATCACATTTAACTTAGTTTCCGCAAACCTGAGCGTCTCCGTTATAGATGGAAACCCTATTCAAAGCTATCTGCTAAAATATGTGATGACCGAGGACTCGTTCAACGACCAAATGGCTATTATAGTCGTCAGCATAAATGAACCTTGGAAAATAATTGAAGCTTTGGAAAAATGGGCAGAAATACTTAATAAACACATCAATAAACTAAAACTGTCAAAAGAAATGATAAAAGCTTGCAAATCAAGGAGTAAGCTGAACTCAATTATTTGATTGGTTTGTATGATTTCCGATTTTTTCAGATTCATATTTCTGTACTGAAGACAGATTGTCCACAGCTTAAGTCAGTTCTTTAACAGCATGCTTCTGAGAGTTTCTGATCTTCTTTCGAATAAGTCAATTGAAGGGGCGGACACCACTTTTTAGGATGACGGAGTCAGAAAATTCATGACTCGTTGTGAAAACCTGTATGCTATATGTTTTTGGTTCGTTCTTAACTTTTGTACTTGCCTGGTATGTCGTCAGTGTTGTCTTAATCTGGTAGAATAAAAGGAAGACGAAATATTGAATTCAAAATCTTTTCGTAGCATTCTATGTACTAAAATCTGACTATGTATTAATCTGTGGTAGGACAGAGTAAAGAGGTCTAGCTTCTTAAGCCACTCTATTTCTGATAAACAACGATGTTCTGGAGTCGTACGGGTAGTTACCCTCTGTATATTTACCAGAATATCCGAGTCATCTTTCAAAAGGAGACCTGCAAACCGAATGCAGTTTTCAAGTTTAGACCACACTAAGAGTGTGTGTGCTATTTTAGTGGCCCGTATATTGCCTGGTCCACCACACTATAATGAATATCTTGTAGTCTAACTTAGTAAACATCTGTCTTGAAGACCATAGGGTTCTAAACGCCTTTGTTTTGGCCTCTATCATTCTGGGATCCTTGTGAGACCTGACTGAGGGTACTGACCCTTTCCTCATGCTGTAACCGTTTACCGTTGTATTCCCAAAGTGCATATAGGAACACTTGGTCGCGTTGACAGACATAAGCCAGTTTTTAAGCGCGGCTAATCAGAACATACAAGTCTGCCCGAAGTGCACATGCATCTACGTCTCCTGTTACTTCCCACCAGATTTGCACATCATCAGTGTTTAGTAACTGCGGGAACTCAACTTTACTTGGGGGTTCATTTGGACACAGTATAAAAAGTAAAGGATCTACGATAGAGCCTTGAGGTACACCACTAAATACTCATTTCTAGGAGCAGCACTTGAAATTCGTTCTTACTTTCTGTCAGCGATCTGTCAATAAATTTTTGATACACTTTAGGAGATGTTCGGTAATTTCTAGATTTCGAGTTTCAAGAACAGTCTGTTTTTCGGCATTATATCAAATGCCTTGATCAAGTTTTATGCAAAAGATAATCTTTTCCTGAAACTATTTTGTCCACTGTTTAACAATGTTTTGGTTACCACGAATGCTGTTGTGATCTTTTTGACTACTACTTCCAGTATAATAACCGGGACACTGGTAAGGATGACAGGTCTGTAGTTTGATAAATGTTTTTCTGGATCCGTTTTATATATCATAGAGACAATTGTATTTTTCCAGTCCGTATGTAACTCATCTTGGCTGAGTGGTGCATTGAATGTTGTAGTCCGCGGGGTACCAATATATTGTACAATTTGCCTCAATACTTTAGGATGTATTTCATTCGATCTTGTTGATTTATTCGTGTCTAAAGCACCGAGAGCCTTGACTATTTCACCTTGATTAAAGTTCACAGTGAACAGCCGGTTTTGTGACTTTGTACTTTGGCCTGGTTCGTCGTTTGTTAGAGGCTCCTGAGTGAAAACTATCCCGAAATATTTTGCCATGACCACTGCATTGTTCTGGCCTTTAACTATTATTTGAAGCTTATTCCCATCAGTAATTAGGTTGGAAATCCAGTGATGCGTTCGTGTTCTGTCATTTTTGTACGAAAACAGTCTATTCAGCTGCTTGATTGCAGATTGGGGCAAATGCTATTCATTTTATCTCTAAACAGCCCAGATTGTAATTATACATTTATTTTGGACCGATTTGTAACATTCGATTGTGTCCACTGTTTCAAGGCTGATGGCAAAATTCCAACGTTTTGTCATTTGTCTTAGCAAACATCGAATATTCTGATCTATCCACGGATGGCAGTGATTCTTCTGTGAGACTATGCAGGATATAAAGGTTGAGCTATTTGATTGTACAACCACCAGGAATGAGTTCATGCCTCTTCTACCGAAGCATCTGACTCACTTTTCCAGTTTTCAGCCGAGGCTGAGGTGTCGACTGCCTTCATGTTTTCCCCACATATGTTAGGACGGGGCGGCGCAACTGCTTAAAGACCACAACAGCCATTAACTTTAATAAGATGACCCCATGGTCAATTCTCTCTGTACATAGAGTAAACATTATTTGACCGACATAACCGTATGTGAAGATTAGGTCCAAGAGAAAAAAGGAGTTCTGTAGGTCGTATCTGGTGGGATCTCTATTATACTTAAATGAAGCCAGGGCGACTGTGGTTTAATGCACTGCGTAATCAAACGATGTTTTTATTAATGCTACTTCTGAGTTTCCCCAATTCGCAGAAAGTGCATTAAAGTTACTTTCTATAAGGCTTTTACACATGTTTGACCAGAATTTAAGTTGACTTAGGAGAAAGTCGTCTATCACACATTTTGGACTGTGGTATACAACAGTTATTACAATGTTTTGTCCTCCACTTTTCGTACGTCAGTTCACATGTTTTTGATTGATCTGCCACTGCATCTACAGACCGTATGGTTAGGATGATTTCCATGTACAGGATAACACCATCACCTACTGTTTAGCCTGTCAGCCATACAAAATAAGTAACCAAGCGACCGGTCTTCATTATGATACACTTCTAGCGTTAACCATGTTTCTGAGATGGCAATCATATCGGGGTTTTCTGTTTCCATCATATCTTCAAGTTCCACTACCAGCATTTATATAGAATACCTTTGATGTTGTGAAAAACTCTTTCGTACCACTCCGAGTGGTTTGGTGATCGTTTCGCTCTGAACTTTAACAATGTGAAATATAGGGCATTTTTACCATTGAGGTGTTATCCATTTATTTCTACCTCTATCGATTGTCACTCAGTACGAGCAACCAGGCTGAGATATTCATGGACATATATTCCGGATCCAGAAAGTTTGCGCGAAATTTCCGATATCAGGTCTCATTCTTCAGTAGAAGCAAAGTACCTGTTAAGAGGTGGCTTGTATGTGTACCTTCGGAACCCACATTTTGTCCTATTCTATAGAGCTTATGAATGCTAACTTCTGCCACTCTTTCCGAGAGTAGCTTGCTTTTAAGGACTTATTGCGATTTATATAGTGTTCAAATCTAGCTTTCGACCTTTTTTGGAAGGCTCTATTAATTTATAAAAAATTACTGGCCCGTAATCAAGATTGGTTCTGAGAGGCTGTGGGATTTCGTTTCATAAACTCTTTTCATCCCTGCAGTCCAATTCGACATCAGACGTGCAAGTTTCATTCTTTTATCTTGATTTTTCAAATGCTACTGCTGGCAAGTTATTGCCCTTATTTTGTTTCCTGATCAAATCGTATGCATTGTTCAGGCTTTGCTCCTTCCCGGTCTGTTTGTGTTGTAAACTTATATATTTTAGACCTCTCTGAAATTTGTTCCTTCTTAATGTACTTCCTCTTCTTCTTTGAAACCATGGCTACATATGTGTATTTGTTACCCACTACTTTATAGGGGTCCAACTTGGTGGTTTTATTCAAACCTATAGGTGGACTCATGATGATGCTCTCTGCTTCTCCAACGTATGACAGCTGCTTATCTGCCAATGGCTGTCTATCTGAGGGGATCGTTCTAGCTGTGTTTAGCAGCCCGATCGCCTCAAGAATCAGCCAAGACTTTTGAGGGCAGCATGGCTTGCAACGCCTTTTATATTCAGCCGGTGTGAGTTTTGTGCGCATGTTGTGATACCACTTGTTGCGATTGTCACACTGCATTCATTTCTCCACCGGAAAGAAACATGTGAGTCTATCACAATGGCGTTTTGTTTGAGAAATTAGAATTGTTGAGTGAGCTCACGGAAAGAAAAACGCAAAAGTCTCTTTAAGCGCGGAAAAAAAACTTGTATCTAGAACAAGTGCTTTTAAACCGCTAAAAGTGGTAGACATAACACAAACACTGGAACTTTTATATTACTGCAACTAAAAATTCAACCAAAATAAACATAAAAGAAGCCTTTACACGTTAGAACACACTTAAAACTAAAAAATTACTCGACGAGGAAAAATACCACTATCGTTTTTAAATAGCGCGCCACAAGTTTCATCACCTGTGCATGGAGACCTATACAAATTTACTGTTATATTATTATGTGTATTACTCATAAGTTCTGAAATTTTAAATATTTCTCGGGATCAGATGGCTGTAAACACTTAATAATGAGTAACTGCAGTCAGATATGTGAACATCCTTCGAATCAGTCAACCATGGATACGTATATGAAGATTTCATATTTTTATCTTATTCTATTATTGTTGCTTAACCGGAGACAGAGACTGTTCAAAGTATTTGTGATTTATCAGCAGAGAAATTCGAGACTAACAAACTTTCGTGTCCAGAGGTCTTGTGAAGTATGGAGAAAATCCAATGGAATCTATTTTATCTTATCAATGAGTGTATTAAATTGTAGATAAGATAATTAATTAAGATTATTTAGGTTTGTTTCTGAAAACTCTTCGTTGATTATGACTCACGAAACGTCGCAGGAATCGCAGCTAATTTTTGCCCAAATATAAATCGACATTTTGTACAGGTTTACAGAAAATATACTCCAAAATTCAGCCGGTTTCAAGGTACGTATCCTACTCTTACCGGTAACTATGATGTAGATAATTTATTTATTTTGGACTTTCGTTCAAATATCAAATTACGTAACTCAGAAAGTCTAATGGTGTTTTGCCATGAAAAAACGTGCTACAAATTGATACAAAATGACTATGGTATCAATATAAAACTTTGAATAATAAAAACCTAATTGAAAAACGTAGTTTCTTTAAGATTTCGTCAAAAACGGAACAGCATTACCAGCTAGATTCAGACAATTTTATCTATGATATGTATACTCTTTATGATTACATGATCTTCGCGTAGACCCTAAATGCTAGGATATATTTTTACATCATTCCGTAACCAAAGTTTGCAGACCGTTCTCGAATTCTTTTCCAGTATTCTCCATTTTTAAAATACGTAAAAGAAGGAAGTATTTTAATTACAGACTGTGTTGCATTAAATCAATTTTTGGAGACAAGTCTGTGTTATGAGTCTGTAAATTTCCGTAGCATAGTATTGTCTAGATCGAATAAATTTTTTGACTTGTCAGCATATACTTATCAGTTGTTTGAAGCTAATAGATACTATTTAATATTCACTTATGAATAATTTGGATGATCATGATCAAATACTTAATAACTACAAGAAAGAATACTGGGTCATTGATATTTATCCTATTTATAATTTGACTAAGTTAGTTGAAAATCATATTTATCGGTTAAGATTCATAAGTCTAACGTTAGGAATAATTGCAGAAGACAGCTGAGAGTTTTATACTTGAAGTAAATGTGAAAGACAAAAGATTATGATCATGAAGTTTCTAGGTTATCTTACAGAATCTTCTGCTCAAACACAAGCCATATGTAATTTTAATTCATATTAATGGCTTTGAAACTATTATGAAAATTGACTGTTGACTCCTTTCTTAGCATAAAATTCAGGTTCGGAAGGTAATCTAAACATCGAGGAGCAAAAGTAGATTCCTGAAATTTGTAACCATATGTCATAGATATAATTGGTACGCAATACACTAAATACAAGAGACCTCTAACCTCAATAAATTTACACAAAATGGAGACCAAGATATAATTTCATAGTGTTCCTATGATCATCTACACAGGTTATTATAGCAACAATCATAATCTAGAGTAGTAAACGTTTTTACGATCTATTGTCTAGTTCAACAGCTTCATCAAGAAATAAAATTCCAAAGCTTTATGTTGTTAGAAATTCATTACATTAAGCTTAGTAATACGAAAAAGAATTTCTAAATGGTTTGTATGACTGCTTCATTGTTGAATTGAAATCTCAGTAAATTCGATCTGGAAAAGATCAGAACAAATATACATCCAATATGCTCAGGGTTCTGTGATTTACTAAATTGTTAGAGAGTTCAATTAACAGTCTGTTCAGTGACTATTTAAATAACGGTTTACCACTAACCCTAGAGAATTACTTTTCACTAAATTATATTTGGAAATACAATTGGCCATTTCAAAACACTGAGAGGTTCTATTGACAATGAAAGCAGATGCTTAGGTAACATTAAAGCATAACTTGTTTCGTCTATATTTCAGTTTCAAAAGAATTTTATGGCTACGCTGAGCCAGAAGCGTCAACAAATGATATTATTAATCCAGTAAATTTAGCTTCACTGTCCACTATGTATGCAACATCTCAAGAAACTACCCCTCAGTTATCATTTTTAAATGATAATGAGTCGTTTATTGAAGAAATGTACGAGGATAATGTATTAAATAACAATCTTGGTGTACCGTTAATCGTTGTTGTAACAAAGGTAAATGATTTGATGAAAAATATCATATTCAAAAATAACTCATAAATAAGTAGGAATTATTTCCTTTTTAAAGTTTTCATTTCGATGGCACTTATATTTTTGCCTCTTTAAAGTTGTAACTATCACCCATCCAGTTTATAAATGTTAATAGACGTAGAATTTGATAGGGGTGTGTATTGGTGGGAATAACATTACCTCAAATTAACTCAAACAGAAGAAGTTAACTGTATATGAAACGTAAGTTGGTCAATATGACCAACTACAACGGAAACCCAAACAAAAATGATACGGTTAAAAAATGAAAAATTCGACTTTAGAATGAAGGGTTAGGAATAATGCTATGTCGAGATTGAGTGGAAGTTATAAAATAATTATAAACATGGCATATTTCATGTTCGACTTGAATATTTCTACTGGTGTCACTCAGTTAAAGATTACTTGTTACATTTGTGATTTTTTATGAGAATTTTACTCCAAAACAGAGGTAAGTAGTCGTAACACTCAGTTAATAAATGAATAAATCATCTTTTATCGGATTTCATTATTAGAAATTAACATTTATTAGTTTTGATCAACGAACAGTGTAATCCTATTAGATGAAATGTCACTAAAAACATATATTCTGTAAGCACACGCTTTGACACTAGCTGAAATCGTTATGAAATAACATTTTGTCCTACTTGAAACTCGTCAGCTGGATGTACCTGCGTCACAGAGTAGATGAGCACCATAGGAATCGAATCCAGTACCGGTTGCCTTGAATGACATTGCGTTATCCGTTTTGTTTATGACTCCATATAGCCACTGGCTTGTGAAATGGGGTACATCCAGCTGACAAGTCTCATAAAGAACAGGATGAGCATCATGGATTCCACTTCTAACCACCATTTACCTCCGCTTATAATGCTTGTGACTTCATGATAATACTACGGTAACCCACACAGGATGGATATGTACCAAAAAGAAACTAATGAATCTCAGTCCTCACTATCAATGTGAAGATGCTAACAACCAATACTAATGACTTACTCTATTACTTTCGCAATATTTTCGGTGTTAAATAAAGAGTTATAGTTTACTCTATATTGTTCTTTCGAAAAATCAAAATAATTGGACTCATTCACCAAATATAATGTAAAAACAATTGTATTATTATTTCTATAGATTAAATTCAATTATTCAATTATTCTGTACAGATTAAATGAGATTTTATGGATTTCATTTATGTTTAGACTAATGACATCAAAATATCTACTATCAAACATTTGATTCAAAAAAAGCTAGCAATGCAATACCTTTAAATCCTAATAAGATCATAATTATTTATCTACACAGACCATCCAACTCAAAGAACGAAATTCCATCAAAATCATCCATCTGAGTTACAAATCTTCTTCACCATCTCACTAAAGCGTTTGAAACAATCAATTTTAAATTATATTGTGAAATGCTAATTTATTAGTAGGTTAGTAATAATCCAAAATAATTATATATCGAAATATTTCTTTGAATAGTAAACTAATCTTGTTTAAGCAAAGATGGATAGTGGCTGGCAGTGGAATCCAGGACGCGCGTCTCGTCTTGTTTGGGACTCGTCAGCTGGATGTACCTGCACCTCAGAGTTGATGTTCACTCTGGGACTCGAACTCAGTACCGTTCGCTTCAAACGCCATCGCGTTATCCACTTAGCTACTGAGTCCTGACAGCCACTTGGTTGTGCAATGGGGTGAAGTTTAATTCACTTGGTATTGTTTTACTTGAATCTTCCCATTGATGTTTTAGGACTGAAATTGATCAATCTCTTATTGGCATATTTGCATACTGTGCGTATGTCTCGATATTGCCTTAATTTACAAGCATTATAAGCAAAGATGGATAGTGGCTAGCAGTGGAATCCAGGACGCGCGTTTCGTCCTGTTTGCTTGTAAATTAAGGCAATATCGAGACATACGCACAGTATGCAAATATGCCAATAAGAGATTGATCAATTTCAGTCCTAAAACATCAATGGGAAGATTTAAGTAAAACAATACCAAGTGAATTAATCTTGTTTAAGTTTCTTGAATGTGATGGAAGTTATTTTTATATCTAAAAACATAAATTTGCCAACTAGTGTTAAAAGGAGATAAGAATAAATAAGTTGCAATATATTATCCCGAAAATTATTAATTACTTAGTGATAAAAATCAAGTGAAAAGAATTCAAATCGGATTTCTCCTAAAATATCTACATGTCAACTATGTTAATGACATTTGTATTCTTTTATAAACTAATAAATGTCTTCAAATAAATGAAAGGATTATCAGTAACCGATCAATATCAAAATAGCATCGGATAAGGAGATCTTAAAAAGAAGGATATATTTGTAAAATCTCAGCGAATGAATTTTAAGTAAATCCAACGTTTCGCCTGGCAATCTGGTCCAAGCTTTTTCAAGGAAAATATAATCAAACAACAAAATTATCGAATATAAATAGATAGAAGGTTCTTCGGTTTACTGTGTACTGAATAAGTCATTCAATCAACGTGAAGGAGATCTTGTTGAAAATTTATGATATATTACTTGACTTTATTAAATACAATTTTACAGATGTATTGAAGATAACATATGTGTTGTGAAACTACTCACACATGCACACATGTAATGTATATAAAAATGAAATTATACCTCTTCTGATTTTTTCTAAAAATGTAGCTCACTCTTATGAATCTGTTAACTTTAAACGAAACATAGGCTAGAGATAGTTTTAACCACAAAATGACGGAAAAGAAAAATACGATGAGAATCATAAAGCACTGAACAATCCTTCTGTTCTATTTTGGGACTATTTTATAGTGCAGACTCTTGAAACAACATTTGATTAAAGCTAGTACCTTCAGGTTTCGTAGAGAGTCCAGTAATATTAGTTTACTGACCTAAAATCAACAAATGCTTGTTTTAAAATTCAATTAATTCGCAGTAAAACAAAATCAACTGCTGTTTACTAGTTACTGTCTCATTCTTGACTTAATCAACACCATAGGTATTGGGTTCCCGTGAGAATGTAGAAATCGATCACTAATCTAGTCAACGATGAACATATAGGACTGTTTAAAGGCTTTGTATATGATATATTGAAAACTTGTTTTCCTAATAAAGAATAGTAATCTTCAACTATGGTGTGAGCTTTGATATGTAGCCGGCAGAGTAATTCTGTAGATGCAAAGGTCGAACGATGACCATTTTATAAATTTAGAACTTTCTGAGTCAATGATGGATACAGTCTAAAATTGCATTAACTTTTGTATAATTATCTGATACATTCTTAAGAAAAGACTTCTAGGAGTACAGTTCTGATAATACTGAAATTATTTGTTTAGTAGCGTGCTTTGTATTTAATAAATACAAGTTGAGATAATTGTTCACTAAATTACAGATGATGCATAGAGGATAATTAACTGATCAAATAAGAAGCCATTAATTTTAATAGATTGAGATAACCGTTTTTATGTTAAAAGAAAATGAACTTCTTAAGAAAAATTCTGATTCAAGTAGCCTATTACGTATCTTTATATTATATCCCACTTGTAATAACCAAATATAAATACTAGTAAAGATGTACTGAATATGCATGCATTAAACTTAATGAATTAATCTTACTGTGATCTTTTCTGCTTATAATTTTGAATATGCCAAGAACAATAGAAACCATAGTGTCATAACATAATTATGTAAAACGTAGATAATCACCTATTATTCTGGTTCACTAGATGATGTTCTCATTTTACCTAAATAATTTATTGATCCAATACAAAGTATTGTAAAATCAAGAAAATAAGATTATCGTCTTACAAGGAAGAATTATATTACTATGATTAAAATTTGTTAACATTTGTCAACAATAGAAAACAATTGCATGAATAAGAAGTTATATTTGACTCAAAGTAGATGTTTTTTTGCTACAAGCACGTAAAGCTCCTTGATCATATGATTGTTTAAACTGGATATTTATTTACGTAGATAAAATGTTTGACAAAATATAAATTAAAGTAAAACGACAGAATGGTTTAATTATACCTCTCTGTAAGATGGACCAATCAGTCATTTGATCTATAAATCACTAACTTGAAATTGTTTTTTTTATGAAAGAACTATTTAATTTATTCAGTTGTTTGTACGATCGCAAGCAGTAATATAGTTTAACTCATTGACCACTTGGTTTATCATGTATTTTTAATCATTTTAAAAAAAAAGAGTACCAAAGCCTCGCCTAGGTTTGTTAAATTATTCTACTAGCAGCTTAAACTGCCTGTCAGATAGCGAGTGAACTCCAGGAGACTACTATGTTTTGCTTTAAAACTATGAATAATATACTTTATTATACCTAATATAAGAACACTGCTAGCCTTTGGTGGAATGACTGAATAAATAATGTGGGTCTTCTGTAGAGAGTTATAGGTAGATATTGTGACACTGATTAGACTGTCAATGATCATTTATACAGGGTGATCAAGACGTGTGTTTTATACGCTCAGTCAGCAAAAATCTAACAGAGTAATTATTCTAGCTAGTATGGACGTAGGTCAGAAAAGCTTTAGAAATGGTTAAACTACTACATGTCATCAGTCCATTTAGTTAAGAATTGAATACCACGTCAGAAGCTAGTGTCTATCCGTATCAGTCAGTCAAGAATGAGTAATATAGACCTAGCCTCATAGATTTCTATGTTCGGAATATTTTGTCAGTCAAAGTTTTGATTCTGAAACGTTTCAATTCTATCTGAAGATACAAAAAATAAGACTTAATTAAATATTTAAAACTGATAACTATTTATAGATTTCCACCGATTGAATAAATTAAAAGAACTTGTATTTGGTTAAAACTTGTTAGATAAGTTATGGTGATTTGAACTTTACAAAACAACTATCAATTACAAATATCTATCTAGAACCAAGTTTCACTTTCTTATAAAGTTTCATAATGATGTTATCCTGATTGAATATGAATGGGACTAGAAATAAAGATGCTTCAAAAACATCAAAAGTAATATTAAGCATGAACTGTTCATTAGCTAATATCACACCATTTTGTAACAGATCATTAAATTAAAACAATTATTATTAATTATAACATATTAATGACTGATCGAAAAAAATTAAGCTATCAGCTTAAATTTATTCTTTGACAAATGACAATCATTTTGAGTTCATGATAAATAATTAAAAACGAACATCCTAAAACTAATTGAATAAATTTTTGTGTTAAAAAGTAACAAATTTTTTTACTGATTTACTAAGTAAAGAGATTTCATGCTCTTGGAATTACTCGATATTTACTCTTACAATTTGTCAATTCTTGCATATTACCTATTATTCTTTACTGTTCTCCATTATGCTTTCCCGGGCGTTTGAGAAAAGACTTTGCTGTATTGTGGAGAGTGCTGAAAGCAGTTAGCAAGGTGTGTGGTGAATCTTTCGAGGTCATTATTAATATGATTATGGATACATATCTAAAGTCATGCAAACTCCTGGCATGTGTTATTTTATCAGATACTAGCCATCCCCTTCACTCTTATCTTTCTCCTTGTATATTTTCTGGTATAACTAGATGTAAATACATTAAAATTCATGCACGCAAGCGAAAGTATAAGAGTTCTATAATACCTTACCTAGCAAATATACTCTGTGACGAACAGGTTGTTAGAGTTAACCTAGTCAATAACTTTAATTCTTAACATGTCTCTAATTTGAAAAGTTTCACAGCTTTTTTCAGATTTTTTTTTCGTGTAAGAAACTTGTTGAAAAACCCTGTGCTGACAACTCTATATTGTACCAAAATATAATGTTGAATGAAGCCACTAAATAAATAAATCAATAAATATAAATTTTGCATAAAAACTATTTGATAAACTGACTTATGAAAAACATCTCAATCTAAGGATATTTTTGTTACATACTAACATTAACTAGAGAATCTTCCTAACTAGTTAAAAGTGAATATCTACTTCTATTTCATTTGAAAAAGGTTCTACAGTTTGTAATCATATATAACAAAACTGTGTCAAGAGTAATGCAGTTATCAATTAATGTGATTACATTATATTTAAGTAATCTAAAAGTAACACAATCAATACAAGATTAGATGATTTTAATTTACGGTCACTAACGAACTTGTGAATACTATTGCTTATTAGTTCTAGACTAGAATGAGTGTTGTGCTAACTGAGTGATTTAGTTAAAAGTAACGGTGTAAGTATCAAAAGAGATCAAGTTAGGATATTAAGGTTATCATCATAATAATAAAAGCTCAAATAAATGAACATATGGATAAACAGAAAAATTGTTATTTTTTTCAGAATAGTAGTATATTTCGTATTTAAAACAAAATATATGGTTAAATTATTTACAACCATAATATTCGTTTTAACCTGTACTACTAACTACTGATTAAACTTGCATATAGTGAACTCAGCTATTAGTTTACAATTTCCTACATTATACAGATCATTATTGGTTAGAAACTGTACTCTATGGAAATTTTACTCTATTCAATACTTATAAATATAATAATGAGAGATTTAATGAGTGCAAATGAAATTGTGTATAATGATTTCAATATACATTTATTTAACGTTGCACGGACTATATTTCAATGTAATAATTAAAAAAATTTCTCGTCTTACAATATTTTATCCTGAAACTAAAACAGACGGACTTAATGAAGATAATGATCAAAGAAAATCAATATTCAGAAGAACATTTTGATTTTATACAAATGCATATACGACGATTTTGTCTTTCGTGTGAGTTGTTATGTTTTCTCCTTTAACAACTGATATGTTTCACATTTTGCCACTTATTAGTATTCAAACGAAATGATTATTTTAACTTTGAATTATGTAACATCTTGATGAATTAGTAATACAGTCATTAGTAATATTAATTGTTACTAGGGAAACGGTATGCAATCAAAGTCGAGTGACTGATCAACTCAATCATCTCGGACTGGTTACTGACAGAGTAAAAGATCAATTTATAATTAGTTTTGATTGTAATAATCAGACGATGGCTGAGAGATGAACTGCAATAAAACATTCTTTTTCCGATTAGCAAACCAGTAGAAATTAACGAACTGAAATGATTAAACAGAACAGGGTTTGCAAACCTCGTTTTATTGCTCTATTTAAGTTTATAGAAAAATCTAGTAGTGTAAAAAACTAAATGTTTTTTTTATGTGGATAGAATCAGTCTTAAGAGCTAACCTTTCAGAATATAAATTCTCTTATTATAACCCAGCTACTCTTATTGTTTAGTACTCTTGGGCACTACTTCACTAAACAAGTCCTCGAATTAGAACACAGTTGAACAGAAATGTAATTGTACTTCGAATAACAAGGTTGGATGGAAGTAGGAATCGCAATAAGAAGAACGTTAGTATACTTATAATTTTTACATAACATTCAAGAGTCTTCTACAAGTATCCGTTAGCTTTGATTGGTTACGAATAGTTAATCATCATGCTCCATCACAATCCTGCATGGAACATTCTTCGTTCTAATCTATATCCCACTGACAAAGTTATTTGCTTTTAGGATAATGAACCTAATATTTCCGTTTTATACGGTGTTACTCGAATGAACTCAATTTAAATCTTTGACATTGTATAAAAAATCTCAAGATTCCAGTTGATTATAAGAAAATATCGCTTTTAACTCATTCTCTTGAAATAAATAACAAGGATTTAATTTAGATTAAGTTGTTTACAAATGAACTCAAATCGAGGTGCTAAATACTCAAAGTTGGAACATTTGTGGAGTCATGCACTCGAAAATCTCTGGCATACAAGTAAACTTTAATAAGCATGTACAAGCTGCAGATGAGTTTTCCTTAAAATTTCATTTACTACAATACGAAAATATTTATTTTTCATCAAACTATTGCTATTTGAAACGTACAATCATATATTATCCAATAAAAATCTTGTAGATGGAGCAGCATTATTTTATGTGTCAGTGAAAGAAGATAAAAACTGTGATTTACTAAATCGTTACATTCGGCATCGTATTTATGGGTTTCCTTTTAGTCGAAGCGCATATATAGTAGAAGGAGATTGTATTTTCATGTAAGTAACTATCAAATGTATTTATCCTTTGTGAATTTCTAAAAGATATTTTTTGTAATAAATGAGAGAATATATGAACATAAGAAAATCAGAAGCTATTTTCTGGTTAATTAAAACATATTTTTAATATTTACTAATTAACTAAATGATTCATGATATTATATTAATCCCATTTAGACTACTAACTGTTATCGTTTCTTTTTTCATACATAATTTATCATAGATTAGTTACAAATCTATTGCTCAGAATCTGTTCCAAAATATCCTCATAATGTGCACAATGTGATTTGTTATTTACGATACGTTCTGTATTTGTATTGCACATAATCACTCTAGTTTTAAGTTCATTGATGTGAATATGGTACTGGTTTGAGTTTCTAGCGATCTGATTGGTGATTGAGGATGGAAAATGTTTTGCCTGAATAAGTCGACGTTAGCATTTATTCTAGCTGAGTAGTGAAATTAATGTTATTGGCGTAAGCGGGAAATATAAAAATGTCAAGATAAATGTGAAGTTCAGAGACTGGACGATCAGAGTGAAGAAAAATCCCGAAAAAATCTATGGACTAATAATAGGCCTTTTGCCTTCTGATAATGGTTTGAGGAGACTGATGTTCTATATCCATATGGACGGCCAATGTAGAAATAAGCTGGAAGGAAGCTAGGGCAGACTAAACAAAAAACGCGATATTAGTCCAATAAGTCAGGAACTGTTGGACTGAGCCATATCAGTAGGTGCAGGCTACCTGATTGGGGTCTGCGTGATTATCGTAACCAGTGGTCATAGACTTGAATGACATGGCTCCAAACCGTTTTCATTTATGTAAAATCTGTTAACCCTTAGTAGTGCTATTGTTTTCTTTTCCACAGACTATCCAGTTTTAAAAGGTCTAACTGATTAGCCACGAACAGACTAAAAATTTGTCGCGATTATTTTAAGCTAGCCCTCATTCTGTGCTTATATTTACAACTGCTGCCACCTTGGTTTCCATATGACAGTAAAGTAGTCTTAAAAACTACCAGCTGAGGCCTTTAAGGAATGAAAGAATACCTATAAATGATTGATAATTTCCGAAGTACCCTTTAAAACTAGCTAAAATTTACAATGATGATAGTGTTTTTAATGAATATTATGATCTCACATTTTGTAAATAGTGGTTTATCTTGGCAAGAAACTAGATCTTTGATTTATTCAATAAATATGCATCTTTAGAAATCTGAATAGGAAAATAGACAAAATAGGCTGAATAAGAAAAACATATTACAAAGATATATCATTTAAACTGTCTCAAATCAAAGAAGCAAATAAAATTAGCAAAATATAGAATTCTGAAACTAACATAAAACTAATATCTAAACACTGATTAAACAAATAAAATTAATAATAATAAGATAGCAAAATATAGATTAACGTCCACTGTTGTGAAGTGATATCTGTTTGTTTAAGATCTGAAATTGCTTATTGTGTCCAGTCCATGGTCTAAGAGACTCGTTAGTTACATGTTTGAGAATTGTTAGTGTTAATTTGCCTCCACTAGCTAGTGTTGCAAACTTGTGTACAATACACTTCAAATGATGACTTCATAAGGGTCACCCAGTTCTTCAGATGCACAGATAAAATACTATGATTTTTTTATCATATAATCTGCTGTCAATATCGGTGTTATATAGCAATATGCATTGACAAAGATTTCGCAAAGCTCGCTCATTAACGGTATTACCGTATCCTCTTCTACTTATCGCTGTTTATATCGTAGATTAGAAACTCAAACGTTAATAGATTATTAATTACTCAATGTCAGAGATCTTAAATTGTGAACGGTTAGTGAAAATGTTGCTTTAGGAATTATATGTTAGTGTTAGTCTTGTAATTTGTTTCATACATGACAAATCTATTGTCTGCTATCAAATTATGTGGGATCAAGTGATTCGGTTTGCAATTGAAGCCATTAAGGAACGTATTCTCATCAATCTCTAGTCCTATGATAATATGTGTAGTTAAATAATACAGGAAATTAAATTCGTTTCACATGGTCTTATATATATACTGTCTTTATATTAGTTATGTCATACTACTACTCTTTGGGAACTTTGTCAACAAAATTCATGGAACTTATTTACTGTTGACACTAGTATTCCATCAAATTTGTATTGATTATTGAAAGAATGTAGTACCAGTTACTAGACAGACTTCTAAGGCAACACAAAAATAGGTCGACAAATAGTCTGGTATTAAAAATGCAATTTGAAGTAAAGGGAACTGTAAAGTTAAACTAAAGTAATGAAGGCTTACCGAAACCAGTCCATCTAAATATAAACTATCAGTCCATCAAAAGCCTTTCAGAGATGAATTACAAATATATTACACAGATAGACATCTAGCAACAATGATAAAATATGAGGTCTGATATGAAATATATGAAATAAAGCTGTCTGGTGAGAAAGAATAGAAATAACAAAGTCAAGAGGTAATTAGTTATTATAAAAATTAGGGATTAGAAGCCGAACAAAGGTAAGGTTATTGGTTCGATTTCGTTTTTTGACAGAGATCTCAAGTCTTGTTGTTTAGTTTTCTGTTGATTCTTGTATTTACCTTTGAGTATATTAGTGGGGACGAGATTTATAGTATAAAATGTGCACTAATGTATAATGACACTTGATTCATAAGCACTAAATGTTTAAATACTCTAAAAATGGTCTGTTTAACTAAATTCACGAGAATAGTGAGACTTATTCCATATCATACATAAGAGATTCTTTTGAAAATGACTGTTGTGTATAAACACATATCCTCCTTCTGCTTTTGGCGCTCGGGAAGTATTCTGGCTCTCATGCAAATCGAATGATGGAGTGTAGTGCATATATAATTGGTGCCTTGTATCAGTGTTTATGTGTTTAAATAAATAAATAAATATACATATCTACATGAAATTACTACAACATGAATTTTATACTGACATTTAATAAAGATCTTTGGTTCATCTCGTACAAAGCCATCAGAAGAGGTAGGTTTACGCCTAAAATTGAAACACAGCTTGCAGACATGTGAAAATGTCAAAATGAATCCATTACTAGTTTCACATACACTCTCCAGATACATTGTATTTTAAAGACTTATTTATTTTCGTATGCCAATAGTAAGTAGCAGCTAAGAAGAGATTTAAGGGAACAATTAGATTCTGTTTGGATTTTGATCAGTCTCAGTTGATTTATATGTATTCTGCAGATTGTCTCGATATATACAGTAGTTCAAAAGTTTTTTCTAGAATAGATGGGATGTATCTAGAAGTGGAATTCGGGATGCATGTTTCGTTCTGTTTGTGACTCATCAGCCTGATGTACCTGTATCTGAGAATTTATATTTAGTTAAACGTATCAACAACTGGCCATTCCATAATTAGTTACTGTGTCCATTAGGCAACTTATGATAATTTTAAAAATAAGTTTATCTGTTAAGTCTCACATATAAAGTATTACAAAACAAGGCATGGAACATTATTTTGGAGGGGTTCCACTTCAATATTCAGATCTTCAATGAACAGTTTATGGTGCTATATCAGTGTTGGACTGATATAAACAGTAAGAGCATTAACTCTAGATTCCAAATATAAAAAGACGATAAGTCCTACATAAAACAAAATCTGTGTCGTGGATTTCAGTGCTAGAGATTATGGAAGAAAAAGATATGCAAGTAGAAGAAAAGAGTAAAATGATGTTCATGGTTATACAGGAAAATTAATTCTTTGCATTTATTCTGAGCAAAAAATATGAAATGAAAAGAAAGACATTTTTCGTATAAGCATAACAGTGAAATATCAAAAATTACCTTGTCAGTTTTACAACCAGTTAATTCCATTAAAAGGGATAAAAATAATTAACCTATTTATAAATTTTATACAAGGTGAAACGTGATTAGAAAAATGACTGGGCTCTCAAAATAAATACCTAGTTCAGAGAGAAAGGTGAAACATGAAAACTAAGTCTTTAAACGCTCTCTGTCATAGAATGTTCTTTAAATTACAAACCAGAAATTTTGTATTTGGCAAAAGCAACAACGCATAAATGCTTGGATATTACAATTAAAGTATAAAAATGGGTTGCATTTATCATAAGAATGTATGTGTTTTATGTGTAGAGCAGTGCGAACTCAATTTAATTTTCTTTTTAATGAGAAATACGATTAATAACCTTACGATTTTTTCCTACCTATATATTTATTGTTCAGTCCAGCAGGTTGGGATAATCATAAAAAGATTAATATCCTAGGTGAAAATTTAACAAAAATCAATGCACAACATCCTTTTTCTACCGTTATCCCAAGACCAGTACCACGTAAAGCAATTCACAAAGAACCAGAGATAATGGCCATTGATGAACAGGTATGCCGTAATACTTGTCATTTACTTTTTAAAATCATTACATAATACTCGTTGCATATAACATATGTTGAATATATGTCCATAAGTTGTACAAAAAGGACTCACTTCTGGGGTTGTTAATGGATGAAGGGAGATCTTAGTAAATTTGGAAACTACAGTGAAACCATACTACTTCCAATACTAGGTGTTTTTCGACAGAATATTTCTGAATAAAATGAATGATTCAGAAGACCTTCAACTTTGAGATTAATAAAGCTGTCTTTCGCAAAGATCAGTCATATACCGAACAAACTGATGCACTAAGGATCATCGTTGTCTAGTCAGTCGGATGGAACTCATCACAATACATCAACTTTCTTGATTATGAGAGGGCATTCGATAGAGTTGATAAACAAACTTTGTGGAACTTCTTTAGACACTATCGTGTATCAGAAAAGATTTTCACCATTATATGGAACTCTTACAAAGGACTGGACTACAAAGTCGTACCTGAAGGACAGTTCACAACTCCATTCCAAGTGATAATCTGTCTCAGACGAGATTACCTAGTCCCACCTTTTCTCTTCTAGATAATAACTCAGTTATGAAGATAGTATTAGCGGTAATAGAGAAGACCAGGGATCTAAAATACGATTCAGGAAATGTAAATTAGTGACATAAAAAATTGAGGAACTTAAAAGATTATAATTTGGGGAAGACAAAGAATGGATGCACCTACGCCTTTGTTTTGACGGATCAATTTACTGCCTGTATGTGTTGTCGGGAATCGGTGAAGAGATTTACTCAGGACCTAGAAATCTTGATGGATCCAAACGCATATCACTTCTGGCATTTGACCAACATAGTACACATAATTATAATTGGAGATTTAACTAGACAGATTCAAAAATTACTTAGGAATGAATCCCAGTAGTACATGAGCACAATGGGTATTCAGCATTTTAAATAAGTTTGCTTAGTGAAAGCTAATGATTGATATAAGTGATTTATCTATATATTACTTTCAAATAGATCTAATTTTAGATTCACATTAGTATCTTCATTTAAATGAAGTCGTCATGACTAAAGAAATCACCACTTTTTATGGGAAGCCTATTACTATTTATTATGTTTACCGATAATCTTGTTGCAACTAGAGTATACCACTTAATGAGTCTATAGAATGCAATGATGGGGAAAAGTTGCAACTCAGAAGAATTGTTACTGATTTTTTGTCCATTACACTGGATAGCCTAATCGACTGGAGTGTCCAACCCAAATAAGGCGAAATCTTTAAAATATGTAAAATAAAGAAAACGTTTTTAAATATTAGAATAGCTACCGTGAATAAACAATGAAGTTACCATTTTCATGGAAAAAAAATGAAAAAAGATTCTTTATGAAACGTTTCCTGAGCTCTAAATTATTTTCCTAAAAAGGTATTTATTTCTAATCTGCAAATCATCAGTAGTGTACACCTAATATAAATCCGTAAGCGAAAGCATTCTCCCATTACACTAATTTCAACAATCTACGCAACCAAATAATAAAGCAGGGCCGATGAGGCCTTAACTAGGACAAACCATACGTACAGCGCTTTTTTGTTCATGATGCTTCTTTAGATGGTATCAGTTCATACTGGAAACTACCATCACCATAAGTAGTTCACTGAGACACACAGAATATATATATAGTCACAATTGATTGATCACTGAGTGGTGATCAATGTCATGTGTGTCAAGTCCTTCTTAGTGCAGATCGAATGCTATCAACCGCGGGATGGAATCCTTCAAGGAGCACCAGTTCCCTCAAGATTACAGGTTCACCCTGCTGACAAGTGCCAAGTAGCATGAAACCCAGGTCCGGGTTTTTCTGTTGACTCCCTCCAACCACCATCTAATATATATATATATATATATATATATATATATATATATATATATATATATATATATATACAGTGTTACAAACATTTGTATATTCTTACAATTTTATATATAATAAGTCTCAAGGAATATTGTTTTTTTACCTAATATAACAAAAAACCTGTAGCTATGGAGTATAATAATATTATAAAACCAAGATTTCAGAATAATACACATATTGTTAATAATAATTTGTGAGAATCTTAAACCTTACATGAAAAACAAACACATGACTACAACTTCACCACAATTATAAGTGTGTTCAATTGAAGAATCTGTGTGAAAATTTCTATTCCTATTTCATTATTTTATCAAAAATATAAAACTTTTTTTGTTATATTCAACATAAATATTGTTTATTACAACGTGGTTAATAATAAGTTTAAATAATTGGTTTATTGTTTATTTATGTGCATAAAGTAAATCATTAATCCTACTACGGTATGACATGGTTTATTTTGCAACCAGCTTATTTTCTCAGTAATAGTACTATTGTATTGAACAAGAACACAGGTGATGACAATCGAATGTACTTAACACAAAATTACAGGACTTGTTAATAAAATCTAACAATCATAAAGTAAATACTTAATTTGCAAAATGTCAACCAGTTGTCTCAAAATGACTCAGACTTCATTGTTCTTGCATCTTCATAGAAATTACATCCTGTTTCCATTCTTTATTGTTCGATCCTCTTGTCTATCTGCTGCCAGACCTTCTGTTCACGACTAACATCATATACTACTTATGTCAATATAAGTAGCACACACCACACTATCAAAAAAACTAATAGACATTGAAGGAATTGGAAATTTTCGAGAAGCAAGAAGCTCAAAAAGATTTTCTTTCATATTCACTTAATCAGTAATGCAAAATCCAATGTTTTTTTTAAACAGTATATACAAAAGAAAGGCTTCCATAACAACAGGTACATAATATTGTCTGATATTAACGTCAAACTAGTTTGATGAAAAAATAATCACCATTCTGCAATTTATACAATTTACAATTCTCAATTCATAAATTTTGAGTATGAAGCTATCCTTCTGATTGTCAGTAATTTATGTGAAGCTTTACAATCTGTGGCGTAAAAGAACATACATTGTAATTTATTACATAGCTTTAATTTTCTGTAATGGAATAAAACTAGATATTTTCGCCATTCGACTTTTCCAAAGAATTATCATGGGTGCTTATTAGCTAATCAATAATTATTTTAGAAAATTGTTTCAAATTTTTTAAATACGAAATATAATTTGGTGGGGTTTTATTACATGTTATTGATTATTGTAGGCTTTTCTCCTTCGACTTTCAACAATCAAAGAAAACGAGAACATAGATCCTAACATGCTAAAAGAATTTTTAGGCTCTGGGGGTTTACCGTCCAATTCAAAACAGCCTGCAAATAGTTTTAAAATTGGATCAGGTGCTAAAACCATGGATGATAACAGTCGTTTACCGGTCAGTCCAACCCCTATATTTCGTACAAAAGTAAGTTGATTAATAATGAAGCGATAGATACATGAATAGTTCGAAGTTGTATAAATACAATTTGATTACTGGTTATTTGGTTCAGTAGGGTGTGTAGAGCTACAGAAAACTGATTTCGTATTTCAATGAATTATGAATAATATTTAACAAATAATACCAAGTAAAATATGTTTTTTTAAATACTGTAAGCCTATAATCTCAGTAGCGATAGTATTTAAAACACAGAAATTTCTTTACTGACTTTATGCAGACTTTTAGACTCTTGGTACTACAAATTTAGAAGTATGAACAAAATCAAAGGCGGAGATATGGTTGAAAAATTACTACAATTTCCTGAAATCATCTGGAAAAGATGCCAAAATAAAAAATAATCCATGGATTCGATCAATCATATTAGGAAGGAACCTGAATATAACAGGTCATCAAGTGTGTTGATTCATCAAAACTATTAAGGACAGTTCTCGATGTCTCTTAATAACAAAAATTTAGAATAAAATACGTGCAACAGTTTACAAAGAGTTTATATTAACTTTAAGATCAATGTATACTGATTATCTAACATTTCATCCATTTTCAACATTTTCTGAACAGATTTCTCCAGTAGGTCCAACAAATAATTTAACTAGCACTCCTTCTATACAAGGTACTTCAGATGGCGTACTAGCTGATTTCTTTTCAAATCTGCTTAAAAAGCGACCAGTTGTAAATAACACTACTGGAGAAACGTCTACTGAGCCTCAGCTTCAACGTACATCACTATCATCAGGTAAGCTGAAGTAACAATGAATTTAGTACACACAACTAACAATGTTGTCCAGATACATTAAACTATTATATTGCTTTTGTAAAAGCTATTAAATGAGTTCTAACATTGAGAAAAACTGATCAACAGATTAATGCTTCATTAAAACCTATTCAGTAAATGAAGTACATAATGTAAAATGCTTCTCATTTAAGAATTTAAGTCGCTATACATCAAATTAAAGAATGTTTGGATATTGACGTACAAATATATGTTTGCCCACAACTTCGAATACATTGGTTGCTTGGATCTTCCCACTAGTGTTTTAGGCTGTGATTAATCAGTCTCTGCACAAGCTTGTGGCTATCTAGACTTAGTAACTAAGTGAATAACGTGATGGAGTTTGAAGCAAACGGTACTGAGTTCAAGTTCCGGAATGAACGTTAACTGGGGGATCCAGATACATCCAGCTGACGCGTCCAAAATAGGATGAAACGCGTGTCCTGGATCATAATACTAGCCATCATCCATCTCTGCTTAAAGAAAACCTCATGGTTTGTTTGCTGATGAAAAACGATGGCTATGGAAATAGGATATTCTGATATATATCTATACAGTGTAGAAACTTTTCTACGTGAAATTGACGGAAACATTAGAAAAATAGCAAAAAACGGGTGATGGGTGCTAAGCACCTATTGAATTGCATATAATCTTGGTTAACATTAATGCATGAAATTTGAACTGAATATTACAGGTACTGTAGTGCTACCATAGATTTGAACTGGATGAAAAAAATCCAAATGATTACCATATATAGTTAATATTGCCATCTCAGTAGTAATTCTTAACTGTATGTTCACACTATTGATATCTTACTGCATAAAAATATCCAAGTGAATTAGATCAAACATAATTAGTTATAAGTGATAAAGATTCTTAATGAATTGAACTACGTTATGAGTGACCTTTAGTCTCCTTCACAGATTTTTCAAGGACTAAAATATCTCCAGAAATACTCCAAATTTTAGGTTTAAAAATACCTTATTCTTAGGTTAAATGTTTATTCGAAACGTATACTTGTTATGGAATTTTGAGAAACCAAAAAATACCGGTTTAATTCAAGATAAACATCATCTTACAAATAATAAAAAACCGTATAATCAACTCAATAAATTATTGCAAACAGTTGAAGAAGTTAAGACGTCATTTAAAATATCTGTTCGAAGAGCAGAAAAAATCCTAGAATCAACCGTTTCACACAGAATACACACAAAATGCTCTAAAAAATGAACATATTTATTAAATGAACTCAAATAATTAGTTATTGTAGGTTTCGAATATGGAATATCATTTAATAACTAAAAATTTTATAATTTGTAGACCAAAAAGACAAACAACAAGACAACATGGATACAAGTGTAAAATGTTCAAGGAACAGCATAGATCAAGATGGGGAAAAACTTTTCACTATTGAGATTACAGAAAAACACACAGAGTACGCGAAAGTGGAAACAGATTTTAACGATATTACCAAACAAAACGAATACACGGAGACTGATCAAGAAAAAGTGAAAAACGAGAGTGACGAGATAACAAATAATGCGTCAGTAAAACTAGAAAAGGATGAACCTAAACACAAGCAACAAAATGACATAACAAAAGGAAAAAAGACAAAAACAATGGAAGGAAATAATGGACGCGAAGAGTCGGAAAAATTAGTGAGAAACAATGAAAATAAACAGTCAAAAAGAGAAAATAAAAATAGCGAGTTACAAGAGACGAGTAATCAGGACCTCCAAAATCAAAACAAAACTCCCACTGAACTCAGAGAAAAAATTGGTGAAGTGGATAGTGCACAAAAATTCGACGCTCCTTTGGTCGCCTGTATGAATGCGTCGAAGGCACACTTAGATCCAATGACTGATCAACCACCTGTTGTCGAGTTGTCACAAACATCAGATAATCTGACTGACCACATTGACACAGAGCATCTAAACAACCAACTCCACACCTCTCCTGACAACACAAATCCCACTGATCTCAACGACGAAATCAATGAAGTGGACAGTGCACCGAACTCCGAGTCGACAATTGTTCCGAGTCACATATCTCCATTGTTAGGACACACCTCGGAAACCAGTATCACTACAATTCGTAGTGACACGATGACTGAAGGTCGTTCTGACGAGAATCACGAACTACCTGAGACTAGTCATCAGGACCTCCAAAATCAAAACAAAACTCCCACTGAACTCAGAGAAAAAATTGGTGAAGTGGATAGTGCACAAAAATTCGACGCTCCTTTGGTCGCCTGTATGAATGCGTCGAAGGCACACTTAGATCCAATGACTGATCAACCACCTGTTGTCGAGTTGTCACAAACATCAGATAATCTGACTGACCACATTGACACAGAGCATCTAAACAACCAACTCCACACCTCTCCTGACAACACAAATCCCACTGATCTCAACGACGAAATCAATGAAGTGGACAGTGCACCGAACTCCGAGTCGACAATTGTTCCGAGTCACATATCTCCATTGTTAGGACACACCTCGGAAACCAGTATCACTACAATTCGTAGTGACACGATGACTGAAGGTCGTTCTGACGAGAATCACGAACTACCTGAGACTAGTCATCAGGACCTCCAAAATCAAAACAAAACTCCCACTGAACTCAGAGAAAAAATTGGTGAAGTGGATAGTGCACAAAAATTCGACGCTCCTTTGGTCGCCTGTATGAATGCGTCGAAGGCACACTTAGATCCAATGACTGATCAACCACCTGTTGTCGAGTTGTCACAAACATCAGATAATCTGACTGACCACATTGACACAGAGCATCTAAACAACCAACTCCACACCTCTCCTGACAACACAAATCCCACTGATCTCAACGACGAAATCAATGAAGTGGACAGTGCACCGAACTCCGAGTCGACAATTGTTCCGAGTCACATATCTCCATTGTTAGGACACACCTCGGAAACCAGTATCACTACAATTCGTAGTGACACGATGACTGAAGGTCGTTCTGACGAGAATCACGAACTACCTGAGACTAGTCATCAGGACCTCCAAAATCAAAACAAAACTCCCACTGAACTCAGAGAAAAAATTGGTGAAGTGGATAGTGCACAAAAATTCGACGCTCCTTTGGTCGCCTGTATGAATGCGTCGAAGGCACACTTAGATCCAATGACTGATCAACCACCTGTTGTCGAGTTGTCACAAACATCAGATAATCTGACTGACCACATTGACACAGAGCATCTAAACAACCAACTCCACACCTCTCCTGACAACACAAATCCCACTGATCTCAACGACGAAATCAATGAAGTGGACAGTGCACCGAACTCCGAGTCGACAATTGTTCCGAGTCACATATCTCCATTGTTAGGACACACCTCGGAAACCAGTATCACTACAATTCGTAGTGACACGATGACTGAAGGTCGTTCTGACGAGAATCACGAACTACCTGAGACTAGTCATCAGGACCTCCAAAATCAAAACAAAACTCCCACTGAACTCAGAGAAAAAATTGGTGAAGTGGATAGTGCACAAAAATTCGACGCTCCTTTGGTCGCCTGTATGAATGCGTCGAAGGCACACTTAGATCCAATGACTGATCAACCACCTGTTGTCGAGTTGTCACAAACATCAGATAATCTGACTGACCACATTGACACAGAGCATCTAAACAACCAACTCCACACCTCTCCTGACAACACAAATCCCACTGATCTCAACGACGAAATCAATGAAGTGGACAGTGCACCGAACTCCGAGTCGACAATTGTTCCGAGTCACATATCTCCATTGTTAGGACACACCTCGGAAACCAGTATCACTACAATTCGTAGTGACACGATGACTGAAGGTCGTTCTGACGAGAATCACGAACTACCTGAGACTAGTCATCAGGACCTCCAAAATCAAAACAAAACTCCCACTGAACTCAGAGAAAAAATTGGTGAAGTGGATAGTGCACAAAAATTCGACGCTCCTTTGGTCGCCTGTATGAATGCGTCGAAGGCACACTTAGATCCAATGACTGATCAACCACCTGTTGTCGAGTTGTCACAAACATCAGATAATCTGACTGACCACATTGACACAGAGCATCTAAACAACCAACTCCACACCTCTCCTGACAACACAAATCCCACTGATCTCAACGACGAAATCAATGAAGTGGACAGTGCACCGAACTCCGAGTCGACAATTGTTCCGAGTCACATATCTCCATTGTTAGGACACACCTCGGAAACCAGTATCACTACAATTCGCAGTGACACGATGACTGAAGGTCGTTCTGACGAGAATCACGAACTACCTGAGACTAGTCATCAGGACCTCCAAAATCAAAACAAAACTCCCACTGAACTCAGAGAAAAAATTGGTGAAGTGGATAGTGCACAAAAATTCGACGCTCCATTGGTCGCCTGTATGAATGCGTCGAAGGCACACTTAGATCCAATGACTGATCAACCACCTGTTGTCGAGTTGTCACAAACATCAGATAATCTGACTGACCACATTGACACAGAGCATCTAAACAACCAACTCCACACCTCTCCTGACAACACAAATCCCACTGATCTCAACGACGAAATCAATGAAGTGGACAGTGCACCGAACTCCGAGTCGACAATTGTTCCGAGTCACATATCTCCATTGTTAGGAACTACCTCAGACATGTTAAACAGTTTAGTACCTAATACTAATAACTCGCACGTTGGTCTTTCCGCCATTCTGGCTAACGAAAATAATGTGGCTGTTTTACCTGATGTGGCTATATCGGGATCTGATTCTACATCCATTGTTCTTGCTGATGCAGGATATTCCGAAAATATATCGTCAAATGGCAATTCGATTTTGTCTGAGGATTTTTCGAAAACTGTTACTTCACCGACAAATGAAGGAACTACATCTCGTGCTCCTTCAGTAATCAATTCACCACTCTCCATTCAAAAGTCCCTAGAAAGTATAAAAGTTCATTCGCGTTTGAAACCGTCGTCTTATACGGACACCACAATTCAGAAGAACAAATCTTTACCTCCAAGCCCTAAACTATTACAAAAACCAACAGTTAAACAATATATAAGTGGTTCACAAAGGTCACCTACAATGACTGGACCGAATTTTGGACAGACAAATATTTTAACGAATACTAAAACAAAGTATGCAAGTTCAACAAGTGCGAATGCATCACCTAATCTTATCAGAAAACCATTATCTTCCTTGTCAAAGAACACTGATAGTAAAAAGTAGAACAATTTTATTTTTAGTATGTCACAAAAAGAAACAACGAGAAGAAAAAGTAATTTTTCCACATTATTTTCATTACGATCATTATTTTACTTAAAGTTTTTACTTTTAATTATAATACATAACGTAGAGTGATTGTTCTTAACCGCTTTATTATAAGATATTATGAGGTTTCATTCAGGATATATATATATAATGAGCCTTCTGTTATAACAACATTGATATTCATATTTTAATGTATGTTTTTCGTGTTTCCTTCATTTACTAATGACAACAATAATAATCATAAAAAGAAAGTTAAGACGTTGAAACGAAATTAATGCATGGTGTTAAAACAACCATATTACTATCACTTGAGCATAAATAACTAAATTCACCCATTTACTAGCTACTTGCGTATAAGCCACACTATATGTGTGGGGGCTAATGATATTGCTCGGTTGCCGAATCTGAAGTAGGTGTAGCGGGATTTCAACCTAGAAATCGGTGCCTGAAAGTCGAACAGCTTAACTTTATTTGACGGGGCGAGATACACACAAATAGCATACAACTCTATTTGAAAATAGCACGCAAAAACAGTGTGATGCAATGTCCCATTGCCCTCATCAGAACATACAACAGGTTAGGTCACCATCACTTAAAAAAACATAAACCATCAGTTAGACAGGGTGAATGGAAGTGATAACTTAGTCGCCTGTTTTGACGAATTCGATTATTTAACCACACAAGTTTCCGGACACGAGAAATGTGTCATACACTGAGTAGTTCTAAATGAAAGATTAAACTGACCGATAAAGATAAACGAGCAAATAGTAGTTTAAATGAAAAACGACTTCCAATTAAATCATATAAATGAAGATATAGATCAAAATTTTAAGCAACTGGACACTAAAAACTAAGATCACTAGGTTAATACAAGACTTACAATATTCCTTTTATTGCATAAATCAGGTTTATATCTTGTGATAGAGATACCTTTAACAAAGCTGAGTTTGGACGTACTTACTTACTGATTAATTTGAATGATTTTTGAACGTCAGGTAAGTGACCACTGAATACACAAGAAAGATTTAGTTTGAAATTGTAAAGAATAGGTTTAAAAATGAAGATAATAAGCCTTGCACTTGTTTTTCCATGTACATGCTTTGAGACCTTTATATTAACGGGTATACAACAAGTTGTTGTCACATGATGTTACTTATGATTGTGATAGAAAAGAGAAAATATGCACTTCGGCTTAAATTCCGAATATTTTATTACATTTCTGTGTTCACTCATTTATAGCCTAAACAAATAATTTATTTTCCAGTTTATTTGTTACTCAATTTCATATTGCAATAATATTGATCAACGTCACTATAAATTTGCTTTTAAATTAGTTTGACTAAAATTTTATTTCATTAAGTTAGTTCTCGAAACTCTTGTATATAAATTCCTTTTAAATACATTTGACCATTAGAAACTAGAATTTTCAGAACCATATTTACTTTTGAACAACAATACCCAAATGAATAAAGTTAAAATTAAAAAAAGGTGAAATGATCAAATTTTTATTAGGATAATTTATGAAATGTAGATAAGTTTTCCTGGGAGAAACAACGCCATGATCAAGTGAAAAGTGAATTTTCGGACAAACCATCATTAACATTAAAAAATACGCGCGAAAACACACTTGAGCTCCTAAAAATCACAATCTTAGTGGCTAATTTTCGATGAGGCACATAGCTGCCACAACATTTTCCACCCAACGAAAGCAATGAAAAATTTATTTTTCAGTGTTTCTCTTGCTAACTGTAGGAGAATTGAAGCCAGAAAATAGTACAGAATTGCACAATTATCGCAGATATTGAACCATTCATTTGAATAGCGCGGTGTAGCCGCCTACTACTCAACACATTTGTTTCATGTGTTACTTACGTCATAATTCTACCAAAATCCAATCCATTCCACCTCGTTTTTAAATATGAATAGTTTTACTGGCGGAACCTCAGATGATTTTACCGGTACAAATTATACAGCATTAAGATAAGGATGTACCCCAAGTGCATACAATCATCTGATGACAAAACTCTAGAGAAGATAGTTACACAATTACCATGATGTACGGTGTAACTCAATGTAGTTTATCTAAGAAGACATTAAGCAGACAGACAGTTCTACTACTGTATAAAAATGTATCATATTTGTAACATTCTTATCTGTAACTGTACTCTAGTACAATGACTAAGTTCAAAGGTAAACAGAATGTGACAATGCCATAAAGCTCAATGAGATTATATAATACTTTATATATATCCTCACTGAGAATTAGAAGTAGAGTCTGTGGTAAAACCGTTGGATCAAATCATAAGAATTAGGAAGTACCGAGGCAAGTTAATACATACTCACACTGTATAACTAGACACCTAATAACTGCAGTTTAGATTGCATAGATGAGTCTCACAGAGAACCATCGATAGTGATTCGCAAAGCTTCTATTTAGAATATACGACTTCAATCTTGAGCATGCTAAACTAAATTATTCTACATTCACTAAGAACTTCTTGCACACTTCCTATGCTGCTTGCAATTATGGAAATCTGAGCCTGTGAACTAATATCACAAGTATTACCCCTCTTTAAACGTTGATTGTCTTTAAATAAAAACGATAGTACAACTAACTGTTCGGTCAAACGTTGGAGAGTTTCGGGAATAAGCCTTCCTGTTTCAGATTCACCGTGACTGAGTAACCATGAATTTAGACCGTATCCATGCACACGCTTTGTGAACAGCTTACAACTTATCGTGATGGTAAACATTAGAAAATTCAAACGTAAACACTACAGTTCATGATATGCTTTCCTCCTAGTCTATCTTTTGAAGAAACAATAGGGGGTTAGACTAGGATTCATGCATCCAATATATAGTGAATGAGAAAAATAGATGTAGTTAAAACTGGGCTTGTATTAAATCTCTTTAATCTATTTAAGAAAAGTGTAAGTCAGTCAGCTACAACGTAGGACCAGGCACATATATGCACCGGTCCAGGTTGCCATACCGCATTAGCACAACAAGATGAACACTGGATTCATAGGAGTGGTTAGGTCAAAGGTGGTAATATATAGGAGAAAGATTGCATATAAGGATACAGTACAGGAAGAAAGAATTAGTTAGTAGAAAGAAAGATATGAAGCGAGTTTAATCTCTTAGTTTAAGGAAAGACAGAGAGTGTATACACCACACCCACGCCATTGTGATCGATTCTGAGCAATGCCACCAGGAGTCTCCAACCATTGGTCACCATAGTCACGCGGACCCCAACCAAGTAGTCTGCATCTACCAACATGGCTCAGACTAGGGGTTAGTGATTTCAAGCACTGATGCCACGTTTTGGTTTTGCCGCCCCTAACTTTCTTCCAACCATCTCCAATACCGGATAGCATTGCACGTCGTGGTAGTCGGTGTTCAGGCATAAGTAACACGTGGCCCAACCATCTCAGTCGATGAAGATTCATAACCTCATCAACTGATTCACCATCATTCCCTAATACCCTGCATCTAACCTCACTATTACTTACCCGGTGATCCCAGCAATATTTCTAAGGCATCTGTGGTCAAATACTAGTAACTTACGGGTGTCTTCTACTCTTAATGGCCATGTTTCGCTGCCGTAAAATAAAACAGAACGGACTGCCGCGCAGTATACTCGTCCTTTTATTGATAGACGGATATATCGCCTTCGCCAAAGGTGAAGTAAGTTGGCAAAAGCCAAACGAGCTTTTCGAATCCGTGTTGAGATTTCGTCCAATACCAACCCATTAAGGCTGATCAGACTTCGAAGATAAGTGAAGTTGTCGACGCGTTCGACTACTTCATTCCCTATCCTCAGTTCAGGTGTTGATGCGGGCCAGTCCTGAAGCAACAACTTGCATTTAGAGGGAGAGAAGCGCATTCCAAACATTCTGGCATTGTTGCTTAGTGCTGTGGTCTAGTGGTTAGGACGTTGCGTTGTGGAAAAGTGTAAACAACTATATGGCTCTAATACATATGTCGTTAACTGACTTACAGTAAGCATCTATGATAACCACTAACAACTTACAATTTCAGTATTAATTAATTTATTAACCATAAGAAATATAGTACTTTCGAGTAGAAATCACTGAAAGATAACAGCGTATTATTTGATATTTTTGTATAGTGGACACCAGTGGGATCCAAGATGCATTATTAAGTCTATTCGGAACTCAAACCCAGAACAAATGAAAGAAATATATATAATAAACTTGTAACTACATGCATTCGCTCAAAAAATTCGCCATCTAATAGACTGAATAAGCTAAGTCTTGAATATCAAACAACGGAAAAACACGAATTCTCACTAATTGCAATAAATGTATGTTTTTATTCAATCGTTTCAAGGTAACATTAAAGTGAACTAAAATGTTTATGTTAAAATTGATTCTTGGTGGACAAGAGGAATAGGTAGATTTGGCTTTGTATCAAAGAACATTAAAATGTTTGTTAAACATTTTAGTAAAATTGAATCAAACAGAAAAGTAAAAGAAAGAACAAAAGTGAAAGAAAATTTACAATACTTATTGAGTATACAATCTACCGATAATAAGGCGGTTTGGCAACATGAATACCCCTATCATTCAATGAAGCAATTAAATCTTCCAGTGTAAGAGTGGCGCGACGATCTGTGGGAAATTTATTGGTCCCAGGTTTTCCACCTAGAAAACAACATATTATAGAGATCATACGAATTGACACAAAGTGTAATAGGATGATTTTAACACTAAGAACGAAATTCGATATAGTTGATTTAAATAACTGGTTGAAAATTGTTTTTATTTTTGAAATTAAATCAGTGAAACCAAAGGTACGATTAGATACATTTATATGAATTAAAAATTACAAACGAGATAAAGAACTATAACATTATTATCCCTAAGCTCGTAGGATTATTCTGTGGAGATCTAAGTTACTCGTTTTTTTCAAATTATTATTATTATTTGAACATATAGACATTGGTACAAATAGGCACCAAATAAATATGCGCCACACAAATTTCATTTGAATTGTGTGAGGGTATTTTTCGAAATGTAACTTACTCAACATATTACTATCTTTTCCACCTGTTTTTCTGTTCATTAAAGACGTTTTTAAGATTTTTATTTATTCATAGTCAGTCAATTAGTCACAACGTAAAACCTGTATATTTGTACATCGGTCCAAGTTGTCATACCCAATTATCAGCGACATGAAGTTGTCAGGCCAAATCCCAGAATAGTAGAGTTGAGTCTCGGAAATACAACCGGAAAAT